ATGAGGCTGCTGGGACATGGCCATACCAAATATCTTCAAAGATGATGCTTCCATCGGAGAGTCCCAATTTCTCCAAGACAGGAAAAACAACCTACACAGATTATTTAGTACTCTTTGAAGCATGTAAAATTTGATAAAATAAAAGCAACAGACAAATCAATTAAAGAAAACATTTTGTTATTAAATTTTCAGTTAAAAGGAGTTTAAAAACTTGCTCTACTATCTCTGGGTTCACTGAATTCAAAATCAAACGAAAGGCGTCTTGATTATGTTGAATCATCGAGTCAATAGGGTTATCTGATGAAGAAGATGAAGAATTAGAGCCTGACAAAGGAAAAAATCATGATGAGGAAGCCATTGGAATTTTGAGATTGAAGATGTGAATTGATATTTTGCTAGAATAAGTTAAGATGAATGTAATGATGATGAGATGAACCAATAGTTCTTTATATAAGATGAAAAATATAGCTGTTATAAATATAGTTGTTAGGAAAAAGTTAAAAAATAAAATTTATTAAAATATTAATATTTTTGGAGAGCAAAAATGCACCATTGGAGTACCTGCAATAGCTAAAATTTGGGACTCTAAAACGCTGACGTGGCTATGGGAAATGCTGACGTGACTATTGAAAAATGCTGATGTGGCAAATACGGAGAGCCTAAATTCGGACAGCCCATTGGAGATGCTCTTAGGCAATTACCTCTATCACCTTATGGTTGAACCGCCTGATGTTGTATATAATGTAAACATTATTACATTTCAATGTTTTGCGTGCTTTTGAATTCAACAATTACTTGCATATTAGTTTAGATAATTAGGCGTGGCGATGTTGCCTGAATGGTAAAAGGGTCGGGCCTGCCCACCCTCCTAGGTTTGATTTTCCCTCTCCCAACTAACTACTAATCATTGCCAGACTGAAAAAAAAAAGTTTAGATAATTAAGGTGTGCAAGAAACCATATAGATTAACTTCTCAGTTCTTAGCCTTAACTAGAGATAGTATCAATTTCTTTTATACTCTTTCACTTAACCAAGTCAAATGAGAATGACACATTCTTTTCCTTATGATTGTCTTCTTTTTTTCCTTTTCTTTTCAACCTTTTTCTCCAACCACTCTCCTATTCCTCGTACCAAAAGAAGCATTACCCGGATATTAATATATCTAATGAGGGTATAATGATGAAATTAATATAACACGTATCAATTTTTTTCCCAGCAGTGAAGAGTGTCAATTGATGAAACTAATATAACACATATCATTTTTTATTTTATAATAATAATAATAATCATAATAATAATAATAATAATAATAATAATAAATTAGGAAGCACGGACACTTCTACAAAGGAGCCCTACCCGTTTCGGATACCGACATTCCTCGGGTACGTGTCTGGCACTTCATATACGTGTCCGTAAATGAATATTAATTTTATTGTTTTGGACACTTCGCTGACACTTTTCAGACACTTCACCGAGACTTTCCTGATATTTTTAACACAGGTCTACCCATTAATCTTGAAAATAATATGAATACTTTCGTGACAAAGTAGTGAAATAATGGTATATATGATATAAAAATCATTACAATAATGACATAATTTTATTTTCTAATTCATTTCAGAGCAACTCTTAGTATAGAAATTATAAATAAATTAAAGTTTTATAATACTATTACTAAATAGATGTATAAAAATAAAAATTTATATTTATATGTAGCCGTGTCTACGTCATACCCATGTCTTACTTTTTAAAAATTTGACGTGTTAACGTATCCGTATCGTATCGTGTCTGTGCTACGTAGATAATAAATAATTGGTATAGTTCTTTAGTTTTTTCTGTCCAGTTTTCCTTCCTTCATATAAAAATAATTCATTGATATGCAAAAAAAAAAAAAAAAAAAAAAAAAAAAAAAAAAAAAAATCAATCTCAAGAACTCGAAAAATAGAACTATTTTCAAAGAATTATAAACGTCAAATCTATGAAAATAGAGTTTTTGGTAATCATGATTTGAGAGCTGTATTAAGTGTAAAAAAGTAATTGATGACATTATTTTTCTAAAACATAATAAATTATGAAAATTATTAACTTCTTTGAAGTAGTTTTTCTTTTTATTGGGATTAGAAAGGATTTAAAAAGGGATATTCCCCCGTCTAGCAAAAATCGAATAAATATAAACATAAATAAAAAACTATATATGGAAACTTAAAAAAAAAAATTGCATTGATAAAAGAAAAGAAAGGAGAAGATTAAATTAAAATTTTATTTTTGTTTTTTTAAAAAAAACATGCTTTGAGCACTAACACCCCACTAAGACGACGCAAACCCTAAGCCTACCGCCGTGGTGATATAAAATCCATATATCCGTAACTGAAAAGTACGGGGAGCACTCAGAAAGCTCTAACGGTCGTCGTCTCTCTGTAGGTAGCATCAAGTCATCAACAATGGTAAAACCCCGTCTCTCTCTCGATTAATCTTAATGCTTCTCTCCTACTAATGTCTGGAAGTTGAGAACGAAGAGGAAATGAAATGTTACTTTTGGTTCATGTAGATTTCAGTTTTTTGACACCTGAGATTGAATTCTGATAGAATTTTGTAATGCTATAGCTTGTTCTACTGGAAAAATGGAGGAAAGATTGATTGCTTATAAACAAAACCGAGCTATTGGTTTGCTATATGCCCAAAATCGATTGCTTGTAAACACAAACTTTGTACACTTTTGAAGCTCTTCTTGGATATTTTCCCATTATTATGCTAATGCTAATTGTATTATATATAGTCCATGCTATTTTGAACATATTCTGTTCTAACTAGTAGTGCCTACAATAAGCATAGCAGTGATTGATATGTCCATGAGTGTTGAACTGTTGGTATTGGGAAATTGGATGACGATAATATTTTAACCTTCTATTTGACTAACTTATTGATCCTTTTTGACCCTGAATTTCTTTGTTCATAGAATTTCCATTAGTTTGGATTGAACTTATTGAATTGAATCAATTCTATTGCCTTTTCCTTTTTTGAATGTGACTGTTGTTTGATGCTTTGAACCAATTAGCAAAAGTTGCGATGTTTGTTACCTCTTAGAAAGTAATAATACTTGAATTTGGAGGTGTATATTTTGAGCTCATTTTTGGAGTTGGTGGTGATCTACAACTCATGGTCAGACCTGATGCCCTGCATATTTGTTTTCCTAGCTGACTTGAACTGATCTAAGTTGCTGATTCTTGCAAATATCTGCAATTGGACACATCGAGTGCCTTCTAGAAATCATAGGTTGGACCTGATATATTCAGTGTGCACGGAATCATTAATAATTCGCAAATATTGTAGATTTTTTTTTTATAAGTAAAATATTGTAGATTATTGATGAACTTGTAACTGTTTTTTCATTGTTGACGTCAACTGGCAGTTTGGTGTGCCTCTAGGTCATCTCTTGTTAATTATTAATGGAAGTAGAGGCATTGTTCTTTCAGTAGTGTGTCTTGTCCAGCCATCGATTTTTGTATGGTTATGGATTTTCTTTTTCTTTATACAGGTAATTGTTTTTCAATTTTTTTAATTTCTACTTCTTTTGAATGGGTGGGGGTTGTGTCCATCACCCCTTATATATATATATATATATATTCCTTTTATTTATGTTTTATTTTGAAGAGGTAGTTTCTGAAGTCATAAAAGCCAAGGAAGTAGTGGTCAAATTTGTGTTGGTCCCATACTCAAAGTACATCATATTGACATATTGCTTTGTGGGTTGGATTTCAATTTGGTTAATAAAAAGATGCTTTTTCCTTTGTCTCTTTGATGTTGGACAAGGGAGCAGCCTTATATAGTTAAGAACTTAAAGAATTCAGAGGCTGAAAGTTCAAAGAACTAGGGCTAAAATTTGGGATGTTTGATAGTAGAAATGTTGGAAATCAAGGAGAATAGAATACAAGCTGCCTATTGACGGCATCACTCCAACAGGGTCAGAAAAATAGATTGTGGTTCAGGAGAGAGAAAGGATTTGAAAATAAGAAAAAGCCTATTGGCATACACCCAGAAAACCAAAAAAAAACCTATCGGAATCACTCCAACAGGCCTAGGTATCACACCTAGAGAAGTCCTCACACCCTCGGAATTTGTGAATCACTCACAGATAAATCTCAAAGGATATTTTTATTCATTCATTCATTGCCTCACCAAGTTTACATCATACCCTTCTTATAGCAACTTATGACCCTGAGATTACCCCATGATTGAGGTAATAAAAAGTTGACTCTATAGCATAATAAAAGTAATCACTCCATAATTGAGGTAATCAATATTTGACTCTATGATTACCCTATAATTAAGGTAATCAATACTTCCCTAATAGCATAATTAAAGTAACTAAAAGTTGACCAAATCTCCCAATTATTCAAAACTCCATGTGGACCCATATTATCTAGCGTATGCCAGCTCGAATCTTAGAATCCTCCTTTTGGCGCCTTTTATACACCTTTAAAAATTTCTTCCATTGATTTCCATCACTCTTTATTCCCCCTTCTAAGGTTGGGCTAGGAGTCATCAGTTCCCAAAGATTCTTTGTGTGTGTGGAAAAGGAGGGGGGAAGCTCCATTTTCCAATATTAGAAGTGCTGGATTGATATAGATTGAAAATCAGTTGCACATAATTCTATCATATTTGAAAAGTTATGGAAGCTGGAATTTGTGGCACTTCAACATTATTCTCCTCTGACTACTTATTGAATTTATCAGGCATCTCTCTACAATCAGCTTTTACAGCCGCCAGCGGGGATTTATATTTAACAGTGATATTGTCTGTTCAATACGGTGGAAGTATATAAAGTTGTGTGTATCATCATCTTAACACATGTCTTCCAGACCCTCATTGGGCTTTCCCTTATTATACAACCCTGTATACTAGATTTTCTCAATAAGGCACTAGTCATTAGTCATTACATATGTAGCAAACAGCTGCTTATGATGGCAACATAGCAAAAATAAGTTGTTGTATGGAAGAGAAATGGTTGGTCAAAAGGTATAGGATTTGTAGTGGTGGAAATTCGAAGAGCTTTATATGATATAGCTTCAATCCTCCCCCCTCTCCAAATGTTCAGTTGTGGTTCGGATGGGTCATTACTAAAATGAATCGAATTCTATCAGATATTTATATTTCTTCTTTGAAATACTCGTGTATATATATAGATATATAACTTTCATTTCACAGCAGAAACTATTCTAGGAGAACCAAAATCAGTTCTGTTCAGATATTGATTGCTCTAGTCTTGGTTTGACATGGTTTACTCGTTACTGGTTCTGGAAGAGTGGAAGAGTTACTCTCTCCATTAGCTAAACCATTTCTTACCCTGCGTATGGATTCGTATATTCTATGTACACAATCAACTGAGGGCTCCTTGACATATATTGCAACGTCTCCAATAAGAGTGCTCCATGAGCTAACTTGTGTGTTTCATGGAATTCTTATGAATTGTGAGTGTGTTATGATTTTTTGTATTACGTTTCCATTGATTTTATTGGTTCCCATTGTTTTTTCCAAGTTCTTAGTTAACTATGAGGTTTGTATAATATTGAAACTTCTAGGTGAGATCCTATCAATTTTATTTCCTAGTTTTTAGATGCAAATGCAGCAAAACTTAATTTCAAGTAAAAGCAAGAATGAAAATGCTCTCTTACCAGATTGCACATTTTTAGCGTTCATTTTTCCTATTTCCATTTTGATGTAATATGATCTGTATCTTGCAGGTGAACGATCCAAAGACAAAGAAGACATATTGCAAGTCTAAGGAATGCCGGAAGCACACCTTGCATAAGGTTACGCAGTACAAGAAGGGAAAGGATAGTTTGGCTGTGCAGGGCAAGCGCCGGTGTGATCGGAAACAGTCAGGTTATGGTGGACAAACCAAACCTGTTTTCCACAAGAAGGTAAAGCCTATTTCTATTATGTCGGAGATAAGAAGGGGAAGGGGACTTCTCTTTTCTAAGTGGCAGTTTTATGGAGTATCACCCTGGTCTTATTGCTGTGCTATGTTTCTTGACCTAAGGTTTAACGTTCAATTTGAATGCTTCTGTTTTATGCTTGTTTTTAGTTTTTGAAATGAATAGATATACCTTGCATACTTGAAGGGCAATGTAGCTTGGATTAAGCTATCGAGATTATGAATATAAAAATGGATTTTAAATATCAGTATTTAGCAGGCAGGTTCTATAAAAATCCCGATAAATCTAGTTGGTTTGTGTTGCATTGTCTATTCAGCTTTCTTATTTGTTGTCATAGGCTTTTGTGTATTGAACCTTGCTACCCTATCAGTGCCATGATAATGCCTTCATTTGTATATTTGTGCTTATATATATACATATTTATATTGATTACTGTAGTATGTTTGTTTTTGCTTTTATTTATTTTTTTGGGTAAATTGTTTTTGATTTTATAGAACTACTCTTATAATTTGAGTAATAGGGAACATGAATAAATGATGAAGAAGTTTTACATAATTATGGTGGTACCCTCTATATGCACAAATGCATTGATAAGGGTGCAAGAGTTTCCTTCACCAAGATGATGCTTAACATGTGAATTCAAATCTGGTGAAAAAGAATTTATGAAGAGCGGATGTATGAGTTATTTGTCATAAAAAAAAGGCATTTTTTACTTTAACAAAATAATTTTTAACTTTTTATTTTTATTATATTTGTATATATAGACATACGGAAATGATCTCTTGCTCAACGGTGAGCAAGAAATTTGTCCACATATATGGATATGTTTTTGCATCTGAGTGCTTCCTTTAGGAAAATTGTTTCAAGTAGGAAGGTTTCTCTCTCCCTCCCTGCCTATTAAAATACTATCTGTGCACATTTTCTAATATAGAGTACTTAAAGTTGTACATTTAAAATTATGTGGGTGAATTATCCTGACCTCCTCACGTTTGAAAACCAGTCTCCCTGATTAAAATTACAGAAATAACCGTGCAAATGTTTGTAATGACTTCTACTCCCATCACTAAAGTGAGTTGCGGATAGTTGGAAATTCGGTAAAGTCCTTGCACATCCTTAGGTGACCTAACACATCAAAACTCAATGTTAGATGGATATTCCAAAACAAATTAATTGACCTCTTTCCATAGTCGTCGCTTGCATTTTTCTCCGGTTGAAAAATCTGAGTGCGACATATAACATACATCCATCATTTTCAGTGAGTGGAGTCTTATTTTTGACTTGTTTGGTGTCTTCGAGAGGTCTGATTGACGCTTGGAGAGGGTGTTTCGTGTGATCCCACGCTCTTGATTTTTGGAGGGTGGCACCCTTTTGTGTTTGTTGTGCGTTTGGCAAAAGCGGAACAGGTCTCTGTTGGACACTTCCAATATATTTCTACTTGAAAAAAAGAAAAAAGAAGAAGAAGAAGAAGCATGCATCCACACAAAACACTAGAAATGGTTCAGCTGATCATGTAACACATAAACATATTTCAACCATAACTCCATACCAAAATAAATAAATAAAATACACTTCAACCATAGCTAAACAATCTTCAGCAAAACACACCAACGGTATTCACACTCGAGCAGAAAAAGAATATGGGAGAAAATAAAGCCAACACATTATAGCACAAACAATAAATCATATATGAAACTTCCAATTTTGGTGTCCTCAAATAAATTGCATGTCAGCATTTGGTGCCCCTTGAATTGAAGGCCATTATGTTTTCTTGGCATTAGCAAGAGAGAACCCAAAGGATTGGATCCGCCACCTTTTTACTTCAGTCACTTGGATGGTAACTGTAGTAAAATTACTTCCACTTCCAAATACTAGCCTGTCCAAAAATGATCACTAAAAAAAAAAAAAATCAATCAGATTCACCAAATATGTTAGTTAATCTAACACATACTTCGTATATGTTTACTCACCAATCTAGTGTGAATGTGAATACATATGATGCATGCATTCGCTGTATGTTATTTTTTTTTTAAATAGTAGTTGATCAATCCAGCAACTAATTTGACACTGACTTATTAAATTCAAACTAAAAATATATTAAAAACTCAAAATTTAGACACGAAATTTGCCAACCTAAATCCTACTGTCCTAATAAGGTGGAAAATTATATAGTAGAAACTAGAAAAAATGTTGTTATCCATGTGGTCATTTTTTTCATAATATATAAATATATATATATATATATATATATATATATATATATATTTTTGCATAGCATATAAAGTTTGACACAAAGAAATGGTCAAAACATGATTCAGGTAGTAAATATCACGTTGAAGGAATCCACCTCTTTCTATTCCTTTAATTCAGAATTTTAAACCTCAATTCCATCCACAACCATATGAAAAACACTAGAAAAAGAAGAAGAAGGAAACCTCTTAAATTGTAGCAAAATCTAAGTGACCAAATGTCTTCTTCTTCTTCCTTTTTTTTTTTTTTTTTTTTCCTCGTTAAATAGGTGATCAAATTTCTAGCACCATCCATGGATTTTTTATTTTTTATTTTTTTTCCCTCTCTTTGGTAAAGATTTGACAGCACACATTATCTTGTACTTTGTTTATAGATATATGCTCGTATAGCTTTGTACATGCTTTCATTAGTTTATAAGATTTCTTACTAAACCCAAAAAGAAAATATATTCTAAACATTATCCAAATAATTCAATCCTTCATAGTTTGGACAACTAAATTTGGGAAATGCAAAGTTTAATTACCAATCAATTTGAAATTAAAAAAATACCATCACATGAGATTCCTCCTTCCCAAACCTGTGAGATGCAGAAAGATAAAAATTAGATGATAGAATTACCTTAATTTACTCATTTGCCAAAATATGTTCTTCATCATGGTTTCCAGACTCACTCTCTTTCCCAACACTTGTTTCTCCATCATCCTTATACGTCGTAAACCCTGGATTAAACACAAGTGGACCATTTTAATGAAAAGCAGAGCTTCGGTCCTTTCTTGCTGTAGTTCAGGACAAAACTTCATGATATTTATATAAAAAATAGTTTGTCACTAGAAAAAGAATATAAATATAATCTCTTATCAAAGTTTCATGTCATTCCATATTTTACCCTTCCTTTCTTGAACAAGCTGCTGCACATAATTATTGAGGTCACTCACTTCTCTATCTTTATAGTTACTATCTTGTAATTTTATCATCGGTGTGCTTATCTGTCCAGATGTGAATGTTTGTATTTCGTCACATCTTCCCAACAAAGATTTTGGAAACACACAAGTCATGTCCTAAATTCTCAACTATGATGCCATGTGAAATGTCAAGAGATCATGGTATACATCACTGTGGGCGATTTCACCCCACTAGGGGCGATTTCACAGCGACAGCGACTTTGTCTTTTTCTTTTCTTTTTTTTGTCTTCTTCTGCGATGAAATCTTACTTAGAAACTGCAAGGGTTCCTAGACTTTCATTAAATGGGGACGTGAAGTCGGCTGTTCCGCATCGAGGACTGTCTTTGTATGTCGACGGGAAGTCCGTCGGAGGGAGGAAATCAGTACTCTCATCTTGCTTGGTTGGTCGTTTTGACAAAGAAGTTGGGGGATGTGATCGTGTGGAGGAATGGGCGGCGAAAGCTTGGAATACGTCCTGTGGCATGGGGGTTACTCCATTATCTGATTCGATGCTCCTCTTCAGGCTTCCTTCTCAGGCCGAACCCCAACGTGTGTTGAAGGAAGGACGACGTCATTGGGGATCTGCAACTTTACGGATCAATGTGTGGTCTTTTAGGGTTGGATGTTGTGGTGTCCTTAGAGAACAAGGTCTCAAACAGATCCGGATGTTTGGACTTCCCCTTCATCTATGGTGTCATGCTCTATTTGTTGAAGTAGGGGACTTATGCGGCGGATTTGTGGGAGTTGTTGCCGATGAAACCAGGGATGCCGAAAGCGTTCGTATTACAGTGAGAATAAGATCGACCTGTCCACAATTTGTATTTATTAATGATGACACTCTCTGCTATAAGGTGGTGATTTGGGAAGAAATTACGCCGGAGTTGGTTCCGTCGACAGAGAGTATCGAAGGCGGCGACGGGTCTTATCATATGCCGGAGGAAAGATGGGTGCGAGGAAGATCGAGTCAACGACACGCACCGGTCACGCGCGTCATAGCTGATAAGACTTACTCTACACGTGGCGCTCATAGAGGTTCATCAGTTCCCAAAGATTCGCGGGGGGGGGGGGGAGTAGAAATATAACAAGGAGAGAATTGTGTAAAGGCTTGAATGATATGAATTACTCATTCACAGCTCTAGTATTTATAGATAAAATGAGCAGATGCTTATATTACAAGAAAGGAAACTAAGTTGTGCTATTATGGTAAGTCATACCATAAATCGCGGTATCATATATGCTAACACTCCCCCTTAAGTTGGTGCGTGGATATCTGAAATGCTCAGCTTGGACAATGCATTCTCAAACATAATCTTGCAGACGCCCTTTGTAAGAATTTACAAGTTGCAGAGTGAAAATCTAACTAGCAATGATTTTCTCTCAAATGAAGTGCCGATCAACAAATAAAAAATGTCTCCTCAGACCATAAATAACCAATTATGTCTCCACAGACCATAAACAACCAACAATGTCTCCTCAGACTATTTCCCTTCACATGTTTAAAATATGTAGATGGAAGAATCAATAATGTCTCCTCAGACCATTCCCCTTCATGCATATGTTTAAACGATATAGATGAAAGAAGAATCAATAACGTCTCCTCAGACCATAAAAAAGAAACAACTATGTCTCCTCAAACCATAAAAAAGAATAAATATGTCTCCTCAGACCATAAAAAAGAAACAATTTTCTCCTCAGACTGTTTCTGAATGGGTGGTGCCAAACTCGCAACGCCCTCATTGAGGTCGAATGGGGGGGGGGGAGTAGAAATATAACAAGGAGAGAATTGTGTAAAGGCTTGAATGATATGAATTACTCATTCACAGCTCTAGTATTTATAGATAAAATGAGCAGATGCTTATATTACAAGAAAGGAAACTAAGTTGTGCTATTATGGTAAGTCATACCATAAATCGCGGTATCATATATGCTAACACTCCCCCTTAAGTTGGTGCGTGGATATCTGAAACGCTCAGCTTGGACAATGCATTCTCAAACATAATCTTGCAGACACCCTTTGTAAGAATTTACAAGTTGCAGAGTGAAAATCTAACTAGCAATGATTTTCTCTCAAATGAAGTGCCGATCAACAAATAAAAAATGTCTCCTCAGACCATAAATAACCAATTATGTCTCCACAGACCATAAACAACCAACAATGTCTCCTCAGACTATTTCCCTTCACATGTTTAAAATATGTAGATGGAAGAATCAATAATGTCTCCTCAGACCATTCCCCTTCATGCATATGTTTAAACGATATAGATGAAAGAAGAATCAATAACGTCTCCTCAGACCATAAAAAAGAAACAACTATGTCTCCTCAAACCATAAAAAAGAATAAATATGTCTCCTCAGACCATAAAAAAGAAACAATTTTCTCCTTAGACTGTTTCTGAATGGGTGGTGCCAAACTCGCAACGCCCTCATTGAGGTCGAATTGGGGGGGGGGGGGGGGAGTAGAAATATAACAAGGAGAGAATTGTGTAAAGGCTTGAATGATATGAATTACTCATTCACAGCTCTAGTATTTATAGATAAAATGAGCAGATGCTTATATTACAAGAAAGGAAACTAAGTTGTGCTATTATGGTAAGTCATACCATAAATCGCGGTATCATATATGCTAACACTCCCCCTTAAGTTGGTGCGTGGATATCTGAAACGCTCAGCTTGGACAATGCATTCTCAAACATAATCTTGCAGACGCCCTTTGTAAGAATTTACAAGTTGCAGAGTGAAAATCTAACTAGCAATGATTTTCTCTCAAATGAAGTGCCGATCAACAAATAAAAAATGTCTCCTCAGACCATAAATAACCAATTATGTCTCCACAGACCATAAACAACCAACAATGTCTCCTCAGACTATTTCCCTTCACATGTTTAAAATATGTAGATGGAAGAATCAATAATGTCTCCTCAGACCATTCCCCTTCATGCATATGTTTAAACGATATAGATGAAAGAAGAATCAATAACGTCTCCTCAGACCATAAAAAAGAAACAACTATGTCTCCTCAAACCATAAAAAAGAATAAATATGTCTCCTCAGACCATAAAAAAGAAACAATTTTCTCCTCAGACTGTTTCTGAATGGGTGGTGCCAAACTCGCAACGCCCTCATTGAGGTCGAATCGCCCTGCCTACCCGACACCTCTCGGATGGCTATTAGACCATTCCCGAATGGGTGGTGCCCAACTCACAATGCCCTCATTGCTGTCGGACCACCCTGACTCTGATACCAAGAAGAAATATAAAAAGAGGAAGGAGAGAATTGTGTAAAGGTTTGAATGAGATCTATAATATGCAAAGGCTTGAATGATATCAATCACTCATTCACATCTCTAGTATTTATAGATAAAATGAGAGCGCATGCTCATATTACAAGAAAAGAAACTAAATCAAATCTAAATCAAATCTCTGCGAATATGGTAAGGCATTCCATAAATCTTGGCTGTCATATATGCTAACACTACCCCTCAAGTTGGTGGGTGGATATTTGAAATGCCCAACTTGGACAACGCATCTTCAAACACTGTCTTGCTAGCACTCTTCTTCAGAATCTACAAGTTGCAGAGTGCAAATCTGACTAGATTAAAAATGTCGATCAACAAACCAAAAATGTCTTCTCAGACCGTAAACAACCAACCTCATCTCCTCAGACCGTAAACAAACAACAATATGTCTCCTCAGACCGTAAACAACCAACAATATGTCTCCTCAGACCGTAAACAACCAACATTGTCTCCTCAGACCATTCCTCTTCACATGTTTAAGACATGTAGATGAAAGAATTAACAATGTCTCCTCAGACCATTTCCCTTCATACGTATGTTTAAACCATATAGATGAAAGAATCAATAATGTCTCCTCAGACCATACAAAAAAAATAACTATGTCTCGTCAGACCATTTTTGAATGAGTGGTGCTAAACTCGCAACACGATGGACGATGTCACCTTAAACCATTCCCAAATGGGTGGTGCCGAACTCGCAATGCGCTCATTGTAGTCGGACCACCCTGGCTCTGATACCAAGCAGAAATATAAAAAGTAGAGAATTGTGTAAAGGCTTGAATGATGTGAATTACTTGTTCATAGCTCTAGTATTTATAGATAAAATGAGCATATGCTCATATTATAAGAAAGGAAACTAAATCAAATCTAAATTAAATCATAACTTATTCTAAAGCATATTCTATGGCATAGTCAAATCTCTGCTATTATGGTAAGTCATTCCATAAATAGTGGCTATCATATATGCTAACATATGCATAGTCAAATCTCTGCTAATATGGTTAGTCATACCATAAATCGTGGTATCATATATGCTAACATGAAGCTCCATTTTCCAATATTAGAAGTTCTGGATTGATATAGATTGAAAATCAGTTGCACTTAATTCTACCATATTTGAAAAGATATGGAAGCTGGAATTTGTGGCACTTCAACATTATTCTCCTTTGACTACTTATTGAATTTCTCAGGCATCTCTCTACAATCAGCTTTTACAGCCGCCAGCTGGGATTTATATTTAATAGTGATATTGTCTATTCAATACGGTGGAAGTATATAAAGTTGTGTGTATCATCATCTTAGCACATGTCTTCCAGACCCTCATTGGGCTTTCCTTTATTATACAGCCCTATATACTAGATTTTCTCAATAAGGCACTAGTCATTAGTCATTACATATGTAGCAAACAGCTGCTTATGATGGCAGCATAGCAAAAATAAGTTGTTTTATGGAAGACAAAAAGTTGGTCAAAAGGTATATGATTTGTAGTGGTGGAAATTCTAAGAGCTTTATATGGTATAGCTTCAATCCACCCCCCTCTCCAAATGTTCAGTTGTGGTTCGGATGGGTCATTACTAAAATGAATCGAATTCTATCAGATATTTATGTTTCTCCATTGCATTACTCGTGTATATATATATATATGTGTGTGTGTATATATATATATCCTATAACTTTCATTTCACAGCAGAAACTATTCTAGGTGAACTTTGAATCAGTTCTGTTCAGATATTGATTGCTCTAGTCTTGGTTTGACATGGTTTACTTGTTACTGGTTCTGGAAGAGTGGAAGAGTTGCTCTCTATTAGCTAAACCATTTCTTACCCTGCCTTTGGACTCGTATATTTTATGTACACATTCAACTGAGGGCTCCTTGACATATATTGCAACGTCTCCAATAATCATGCTCCATGAGCTAACTTGTGTGTTTCATGGAATTCTTATGAATTGTGAGTGTGTTATGATTTTTTTGTATTATGTTTCCATTGATTTTATTGGTTCCCATTGTTTTTTCCAAGTTCTTAGTTAACTATGAGGTGTCTATAATATTGAAACTTCTAGGTGAGATCCCTATCATTTTTATTTCCTAGTTTTTAGATGCAAAAGCATGAATGAAAATTCTCTCTTACCAGATTGCACATTTTTAGCATTCATTTTTCCTATTTCCATTTTGATGTAATATGATCTGTTCTTGCAGGTGAACGTTCCAAAGACAAAGAAGACATATTGCAAGTCTAAGGAATGCCGGAAGCACACCTTGCATAAGATTACGCAGTACAAGAAGGGAAAGGATAGTTTGGCTGTGCAAGGCAAGTGCCGGTATGATTGGAAACAGTCAGGTTATGGTGGACAAACCAAACCTGTTTTCCACAAGAAGGTAAAACCTATTTCTATTATGTCTCTTTACTTCACAAGGTATGTATCTTATTTGAAATGACCCTCATCCACGTTTTAACTAACCTATGCACTTCTTTCCCCATGAAGTTCCTATCTTATAAATTTAGCCAGGGAAAAAATTTACAACATTGCTTTCTCTGTGTAGGCGAAAACTACAAAGAAGATTGTGCCGAGGCTGCAATGCCAGGGGTTCAAGCATGTATCACAGCACCCAATCAAGGTTAGCTTCTCAACTTCCATTTGCTCTTTTGTTTTCGATTCCTTAAGTGTTGCTTTCTTGTTCGTTATGGACATGTGATTGTTGCCCTTTTATTGCAGAGGTGCAAGCATTTTGAGATTGGTAGAGATAAGGAGGGGAGGGGACTTCTCTTTTCTAAGTGGCAGTTTTATGGAGTATCATCTTGGTCTTATTGCCGTGCTATGTTTCTTGACCTAAGGTTTAACTTTCAATTTGAATGCTTCTGTTTTTATGCTTGTTTTTACCTTTTGAAATGAATAGATATACCTTGCATACTTAAAGGGCAATGTAGCTTGGATTAAGCTATCGAGATTATGAATATAAAAATGGATTTTCAATATCAGTATTTAGCAGGCAGGTTCTATAAAAATCCCGATAAATCTAATTGGTTTGTGTTGCCTTGTCTATTCAGCTTTCTTATTTGTTGTCATAGGCTTTGTGTACTGAACCTTGCTACCCTATCAGTGCCATGATAATACGTTCATTTGTATATTTGTGCTTATATGTATACATATTTATATTGATTACTGTAGTATGTTTGTTTTTGCTTTTTATTTTTTTGGGTAAATTGTTTTTGATTTTATAGAATTACTGTTATAATTTGAGTAATAGGGAACATGAATAAATGATGAAGAAGTTTTACATAATTATGGGTGGTACCCTCTACGCACAAATGCATTGATAAGGGGGCAAGAGTTTCCTTCACCAAGATGATGCTTAACATGTGAATTCAAATCTGGTGAAAAAGAATTTATGAAGAGCGGATGTGTGAGTTATTTGTCATGAAAAAAAAAGGCATTTTTTCCTTGAACAAAATAATTTTTAACTTTTTATTTTTATTATACATATATATATATATATATATATATATGTATATATATAGACATACGGAAATGATCTCTTGCTCAACGGTGAGCAAGAAATTCGTCCAAATATATGGATATGTTTTTGCATCTGAGTGCTTCCTTTTAGGAAAATTGTTTCAAGTATTTCTATTATCCCTTTCTAGGAAGGTTTCTCTCTGCCTCCTTGCCCAATAAAATACCATCTGTGCACATTTTCTAATATGGAGTACTTAAAGTTGTACATTTAAAATTATATGGGTGAATTATCCTGACCTCCTCACCTTTCCACCCTCAGACAAAAACCTTTTGAAAAACCAGTGTCCCCAGTTAAAATTACAGAAATAATCGTGCAAATGTTTGTAATGACTTGTACTCCCATCACTAAAGTGAGTTGCTGATAGTTGGAAATTCTTTAAAGTCCTTGCACATCCTTAGGTGACCTAACACATCAAAACTCAATGTTAGATGGATATTGCAAAACAAATTAGTTGACCTCTTTCCATAGTTGTTGGTTACATTTTTCTCCGGTTGAGTGCGTCAGATAAACATACATCCATCATTTTTAGTGAGTGGAGTCTTATTTTTGACTTGTTTGGAGAGTGATAGAGTGGGTGTTTCGTGTGATCCCACGCTCCTGATTTTTGGAGGGTGGCACCCTTTTGTGTTTGGTGGTGCGTTTGGCAAAAGCACAAGCTTGTTGGAGATCATTTTATAGGCACAAGCTTGTTTGAGATCATAAATGCATCTTTTAAGCTTAAATACTTTATTTTCTTCCCCTTTAGAAATGAATCCTTCAGGTTGTTTCATTTAAATATCTTCATACCTATTTAGGAACTGCTTCTACATCCATTTAATATAATCTCAGTCATAGTATGCAATAATTGTTAACAATGTCCCAATGGATTTCAGCATTGATACGAGTGAAAAGTTTTTTCATAGTCAATATCCTCGTTTTCTTCATTTAGCCTTTTGTTACTCCCCTTCTTCATTTAGCCTTTTGGTCTCCAGATAAGTAAGTGACAAATTGCAAATATAAGCTGTCGCACAAGTATCAATACACCGAAAACTATTAGACCTAACAAGCTTCGGATAGACTTCCATTACTTATTCTACTGCACATGTGAAACTTTCGTTAATATTCATAATCTGTTTCTTCTCTCCATGTATTACCAGTTTAAAACCATATATTACCAGTCTAAAGCCAAATCTACAATGACAATGTTCAATAAGTGATTTATAGACTCTACGCAACTGAGATTGATGAATTTTGTAATGTGAAATCTTCATTGGGTCATTCGAATGGTTTAATCTTCATTGGGTCATTCCAATGGTTTAATACTACCTTTAATCGAATGTTGAATCAGTGTGTTGTACGATAGTGTGTTGTATGGAGTAATAAAGTTATAAGTGCATTAAACCCCTTGAACTATCAACCAAAAGCACAAAACCCCCTGACCTAAGTTAAGCCCCCTGTACTCTGTAAAAAGAGCAATTTAAAGACGAAATTAAAAGTTTCCATCACCGGATGCCGCCAGAGATGTTAGGATTACCAAATTGCCCTTTAATTAAATAACATAGGTTTGTTGTTTGAGTAGCTGTTGCTAATGTGTCAAGTGCAATCTCAACAACCAATAGCATTGTGCCATCACATCACCCTATAACAATTGCACCTAGTTTTTAGGCCAAACACCACCTTATTTTAGCACTAATCAACACTGACACCTCCTAGCCAAACAACAAAGTTAACCAACTCCATCGTCCACGGCAGCCGCCACCTTTTTTTTTTTTGTCACTTGTTGAAACACTAGCCCTAGCTCATTCCATCGCAACATAACAACTGAAAGGATCGAAATCTACTCCTCTAATCTTGCAACTTTGAGACTCTTGATTCCAGATAATTCACGTATAGTGCGAACATGGTTTGGTTGACCAGGGCTTTCTGGCAGCATTGCGTATGTGTATATATATGTATATATTTGGAGGTGAGAACATTGCCCCCTGCACTCCATTAAATCCGATGAGCAAACACCCAAAAACAATACATATATTCCATTAATTAAGAATTTCTTTGTCTTCTTTGAGTTTAATTTTGGCAACATTGCTTTCTCTGTGTCGGCAAAAACTACAAAGAAGATTGTGCTGAGGCTGCAATGCCAGGGGTGCAAGCATGTATCACAGCACCCAATCAAGGTTAGCTTCTCAACTTCCATTTGCTCTTTTGTTTTCGATTCCTTGAGTGTTGCTTTCTTGTTCTTTATGGACATGTGATTATTGCCCTTTTATTGCAGAGGTGCAAGCATTTTGAGATTGGTGGAGATAAGAAGGGGAAGGGGACTTATCTTTTCTAAGTGGCAGTTTTATGGAGTATCATCCTGGTCTTATTGCTGTGCTATGTTTCTTGACCTAAGGTTTAACTTTCAATTTGAATGCTTCTGTTTTTATGCTTGTTTTTACCTTTTGAAATGAATAGATATACCTTGCACACTTGAAGGGCAATGTAGCTTGGATTAAGCTATCGCGATTATGAATATAAAAATGGATTTTAAATATCCGTATTTAGCAGGCAGGTTCTATAAAAATCCCGATAAATCTAATTGGTTTGTGTTGCATTGTCTATTCGGCTTTCTTATTTGTTGTCATAGGCTTTTGTGTACTGAACCTTGCTACCCTATCAGTGCCATGATAATACCTTCATTTGTATATTTGTGCTTATATATATACATATTTATATTGATTACTGTAGTATGTTTGTTTTTGCTTTAATTTATTTTTTTGGGTAAATTGTTTTTGATTTTATAGAACTACTCTTATAATTTGAGTAATAGGGAACATGAATAAATGATGAAGAAGTTTTACATAATTATGGGTGGTACCCTCTATGCACAAATGCATTGATAAGGGGGCAAGAGTTTCCTTCACCAAGATGATGCTTAACATGTGAATTCAAATCTGGTGAAAAAGAATATATTAAGAGCGGATGTGAGTTATTTGTCATGAAAAAAAAGGCATTTTTTCCTTGAACAAAATAATTTTTAACTTTTTATTTTAATTATATATATATATATATATCTGGACATACGGAAATGATCTCTTGCTCAACGGTGAGGAAGAAATTTGTCCACATAGATGGATATGTATTTGCATCTGAGTGCTTCCTTTTAGGAAAATTGTTTCAAGTATTTCTATTATCCCTTTCTAGGATGGTTTCTCTCTCCCTCCCTGCCTATTAAAATACTATCCATGCACATTTTCTAATATAGAGTACTTAAAGTTGTACATTTAAAATTATATGGGTGAATTATCCTGACCTCCTCACGTTTCCATCCTCAGACGAAAACCTTTTGAAAAACCAGTCTTCCCGGTTAAAATTACTGAAATAACCGTGCAAATGTTTGTAATGACTTGTACTCCCATCACTAAAGCGAGTTGCTGATAGTTGGAAATTCTTTAAAGTCCTTGCACATCCTTAGGTGACCTAACACATTAAAACTCAATGTTAGATGGATATTCCAAAACAAATTAATTGACCTCTTTCCATAGCCGTCGGTTAGATTTTTCTCCGGTTGAAAAATGAAAATCTGAGGGCGACGGATAACATACATCCATCATTTTCAGTGAGTGGAGTCTTATTTTTGACTTGTTTGGTGTCTTCAAATTGACGCTTGGAGAGGGTGTTTCGTGTGATCCAACGCACTTGATTTTTGGAGGGTGGCACCCTTCTGTGTTTGTTGTGCGTTTGGCAAAAGCGAAAAAAAAGATCCTTCGATGGGGGAAGCGGAACAGGTTTTGTTGGACACTTTCTAATATATTTTTACTTAAAAAAAAAAAAAAGAGAAAAAAGAAGAAGAAGAAGAAGCATGCATCCACACAAAACACTAGAAATGGTTCAGCTGATCATGTAACACAAACATATTTCAACCATAACTCCATACCAAAATAAATAAATAAAATACACTTCAACCATAGCTAAACAATCTTCAGCAAAACACACCAACGGTATTCACACTCGAGCAGAAAAAGAATATGGGAGAAAACAAACAATAAATCATATATGAAACTTCCAATTTTGGTGTCCCCAAATAAATTGCATGTCAGCATTTGGTGCCCCTTGAATTGAAGGCCATTATGTTTTCTTGGCAGTAGCAAGAGAGAACCCAAAGGATTGGATCCGCCACCTTTTTACTTCAGTCACTTGGATGGTAACTGTAGTAAAATTACTTCCACTTCCAAATACTAGCCTGTCCAAAAATGATCACTGAAAAAAAAAAAAAAAATCAATCAGATTCACCAAATTTGTTAATCTAACACATATATGTTTACTCACCAATCTAGTGTGGATGTGAATACGTATGATGCATGCATTCCCTGTATGTTATTTTTTTTAAATAGTAGTTGATTAATCCAGTAACTAATTAGACACTGACTTTTTAAATTCAAACTAAAAATATATTACAAACTCAAAATTTAGACACCAAATTTGCCAACCTAAATCCTACTGTCCTAATAAGGTGGTAAATAATCTAGTAGAAACTAGAAAAAATGTGGTTATCCATGTGGTCATTTTTTTCATAATATATGAAGTTTTTTTTTTTTTTTTTTTTTCATAACATATAAAGTTTAACACAAAGAAATGGTCAAAACGTGATTCAGGTAGTAAAAATGACGTTGAAGGAATCCACCTCTTTCTGTTAGTTTAATTCAGAATTTTAAACCTCAATTCCATCCACAACCATGTGAAAAACACTAGGGGAAAAAAACAAGAAAAAAAGAAAACCTCTTAAAATGTAGTTAAATCTAAGTGACCAAAATGTCGTCTTCTTCTTCTTATTATTTTTTTTCGTTAAATAGGTGATCAAATTTCTAGCACAATCTAAGGATTTTTTTATTTTTATTTATTTTCCCCTTCTTTGGTAAAGATTTGACAGCACACATTATCTTGTACTTTGATTCATATTCGAAAAGGTTAAAAAAGTTAAGTTGAATGAAGATTTGACAGCACACATTATCAATTTGAAATTTAAAAAATAGCAGATTCCCCACCTTTCCAAACCTGTGAGATGCAGAAAAATAAAAATTAAAAGATAGAATTACCATAATTTACTCATTTGCCAAAATATCTTCTTCATCATGGTTTCCAGACTCTTTTTCTTTGCCAATACTTGTTTCTTCATCATCCTTGTACATCGCAATCCCTGAATTAAACACAAGTGGATAAAACTTCATAATACTTATAATAAAAAAATAGTTTGTCACTACTATGTAGGAAAAAGAATATATATATAATCTCTTATCAAAGTTTCATGTCATTCCATATTTTACCCTACCTTTCTTGAGCACGCTGCTGCACATAATTGTTAAGGTCACGATCTTGTAATATTATCACCGGTGTGCTTATCTGTCCAGATGTGAATGTCTGCATTTTGTCACATTCGTTCACCCAAACATACAGTAGGGATGGCAATTTAAAAGCATTATTTGCCCAACAAAAACTTGTGAGGTTTGGTAGATGGTCAAGGTTCATAAACTGTAACTTGGGAAACACAATTTCATCCATGCCACCATCCTCTTCACCTTGATCTTCATTTTTAATTATTTCTTCAATCGCATTACAGCTACGAACACTCAGTTGTTCAATATTTGTGAGATTTCTTGCGATTGAGAGTGAGAATAAATATTTCAGGCTGTTGCAAGATGCAACTGTTAAAAATGTTAGGTTGTGGTAGGGGTCCAACTTTGTTATTTGAGGGGCTCCTCTTTTGATGTCTTCAAGTCCTTCAAGGTTGAAGACAACTTGTAATGAATCACAATCTCTCACAGTGAGTTTTTCAACAACTTCAAACCTCTGTAGCAGCAGGGTAGGAATGTTCACTAGCACGCGGAAGTCAATCAGACTCAGCCTTCTTACTTTGCTAAATGAGGCTGCTGGGACACGGCCATGCAAAATATCTTCAAAGATGATGTTTCCATCCGAGAGCTCCAAATGCTCCAAGACAGGAAAAGCAACCTACACAGATTATATAGTAGTGTTTGAAGCAGGTAAAATTTGATGAAAAAAAAGCAACGTACAGACAAATCAATTAAAGAAAACTTATTTTGTTATTAAATTTTCAGTTAAAAGGAGTTTCAAGTGTGATGGATGGGTTGCTGGACATGCATCCCACATGAAGCTGCTATTTGAGACAATAATGGCAAGGTAAGGTAATTTTGGATCAAAAGTTTAATACCATTGGATATATCGCAGATCACTATAATTCTTCTTAAACTATAATATTAGAAATGGTCAAATTTCAAAAGTAGTAGTATGTTAGGGGTGCATAAAATTTAATTTATTCTTAACCTTTTCGAATATAAATCATATAATATCATATTTTAAAATCATATAATATCATAATATATATTACTTAACAATTTTTTTTTTTCTTCTCAATATTGGACTTTCTTATTAAAATAAAATTCAGGTGAATTTAACAAAAAAACATTCAATAATATTCAAAGGATAAATATTGTCACACCTGCACTTAACATTCTCCTTTTAAAAATGTTCCTTTAATTTTTTAAAACGTGGGTTCATTCATAATTTTTTTAAATCGTGGGTTCATTCAAAAACTATGCGTCAATGCAGATATGCAATGACTTCTTTCTAATACGTAAGGCCTATATATATATATATAATACTAGTAATGGTCAAATTTCAAAAGTAGTATGTTAGGGGTGCATAAAATTTAATTTATTCTTTACCTTTTCGAATATGAATCATATCATATCATAATATATAGTAATATCATAATATTATATATATATATATATATATATATATATAATTCTTTTTTCTTTATGGAAAGATTTAACCAAAAAAAAAGTGATTTGCTTTGCCAACTTCTGAAGCTAGGAATAACAAACTAACGTTGCATTGTATTCTTCATTCAACTTAACTTTTTTAACTATAAAAAAAAGTTTATTTATTTATTTTTTTTTTTTTTTTTTTGTCAATTTATAAATTTTAACTATTAAATAATAGGCATTTCTAAAACAAAACATGTTCAATTTAGGATATGGCATACCTTTTCCAATGATTGTAAGGGGGCACGGCAAGGAAACATTTCCAATTTGGGACAACAACCTATTGCCATATGTTTTAAGGATGGCAATTCATAAATGCGACTCCTCCGGGATAAAATCCTCAGCTGTGGCAAAAACTTGAAGGTTATAGATTTCAATTGAGAGAACACAAGATTGTCCTCCAAGTCTTTTTCTATATCTGTATCTATTGCAACCATTCCTTCCTCGGCATTTGACCCTTCTTCAACCTTAAATACCTCCTCCAAGGAGTCACAACTTAATATGCTAAGTTCTTCTATGTTGTGGAAACTTCCAAGCAATTTTGATGGAGCAACACTTAACAGTTCAACACAATAAGACACTTTCAACACCCTTAGTTTACAAACAGCATCTGTTGGAACCGTGTCGTCCCATATCTCCTTCACATTGTTTTCACGTCCTTCATACTCGAAGCTCTCCAAACAAGGGAACTTGACCTGCAAAACATCAATCTTCTAACCTTATTAATAAAAGAATAAAGAAAAAAGGGAAAGCAAGAGAAAACTCTCTATTAACATTCAAATTTTCATTTCTCTATGACCACTTCATCTATACGAATATAGTATTACCATTTCATGCAAATACAAGCATGTTTGTATTTAAATGGGTCTCACATACCACATGCCAATATTTAATTAGTTGGTAAACAGTTTATTCAATTTTGTAGATTACTTAATGTTGTCTCCATATATAAAATTGTTTGAATCTCTCCAGGAAAAAAATAATAAATAAATAAAATAAAATAAAATAACAAAGAATCAAATTTACCATTATGAAGTCATTCATTAATCAAAATAATTATTGTTTAACAAATAATCTTTAATTAGAATCTCACTTGTGAATCTGTGATGTATCCTATCAAGAATAAACAAATCCAATGGAAAGATTTGTACCTCCAAAAAACGCATCAAATAGTCAACTTGGGCCGGAGGAGAGATCCAACGAGACCGGAAGAATGGATTTGGGACTGTGTTTTTGGAAAAGTCAAGAAGTTGATGTGTTGTGCAATTTGGTCTCTTTGGGGTTGCGGTTGAAATGTAAAGCGCACTTTTATCAATAGCAGCTACTTTTCATAATTAAATTAGTTTTAATTTATTTTGTAACAATTGTTTTTTTAAATATTTTTATTGCTAATTTTACAATAATAATCTTTAATAATAGAATATTACCATACTTGATAATAGTAACTTAATTAAAGAATGAGTGTAATTATTTTAATAAAAAATAAAAAAAAAGGACATAATTGACTTAGTTTGGTATCATTAAAAATGTTCTTAATGGTTTCCAAACACAACTAAACGCAGTTTTTTATAATAAAAGCGCGCTTCTAAAGGACTAAACGAGCTTGGAATTAAAAGTGCGTTTTTAAAGGGTGAGCTAAATGGGCTCGAAATTTAACCGCACCAATCTATATATATATATACATATGAAAATTATGTCGAACTTGACTTAATCACATGGTCTTCTTCCTTCAAAATGGAGCAACTGAAATTTCATACTCTTATCGTAGTGTATGTGCGCTCATTTGAAGGAATCCTAGTAATAACCAAAAGCAAGAAAACAAAATATACACCATGAATCTAGCAAAATGAACAGAAAGATGTAAATGCAAAGACAAGAAGTGCCATGGGCTTCGTTATTGGGCTTCTGTTACTAAGAAGACCTTTAAATTCTTTAATTCAACAATTAATTAATGTGTTTAATTTTTCATTCAAGTTTCCAATTCTAAGTTGAATTTGTATGCAACAAAAATCAATATTAAATGATTTAATTCAAAATAGTCCTGCAAGTAACTAAGTAAGTGAAAATAATAGACACCAAGAAAATTTAATTCACATTGCCACTTTTGTCACGTGCTCTTTTTTTACTAATAAGCAACTAATTATTTTTCAAAATAGTAACTAAAATTTAATTCTTTAAATTAATCAAACTGATATATTTATTAATAATCAATGAATATAGTAGAAACTAGAATATTTAGCAATATAGAGGGGCCCATTTAATTTTTTGAATAATATTATTCTCTTTTTATTTTTAAGGAAAAAAATCATATAACCACCTCCCTCTATTATCATTTTTGTCTAAAAAAAACTCCCACTAAAATTAAACACCTCGCTCAACTAAAAAAAAAATGCTATCAAATTCTTACATACCCGGCCCAACCTTATGATTTAATATTAAATTAAAACTTATATTTATTATTATGAAATTACAAAAATACCTCCACCCACCTCGCATCTTGTTCTATCAGCTATATATATATATATATATATAAATTGTCAAATTAGAGATTATCCGGCGACTTGGCTCGGCGTCGTCCCAACTTCGCCTTGGAAACCATGATTCGATTAATGTTCTTCTTCTCCGGCGACATCTCCGGCCAAATTCCGGCTGCCGCAGAAGGGGTCGGTTTTGAAGCAATTGACGGGCAGGAGGGTGGGGGCGCCACCATCACCACCGCCGCAGCCGCCAACTCAGAGCACATTGCAGTATCGCAAATTGCATCACAACAACAATTGAAACCCAAATTGCAGACATCATCACTTTTTATTCTTCTTTTGTTCGAAGTGAATCGCAATAGCAGGAATTCCGTCCCAACAACAACATCGTCAATCTTGCTTCTCTTCTCATTGCATCAACGAAGCAGGCAGTTCCTTTTTTTTTACTCACAAATCGCCACTATCATCACTCACTGATGATAGCATCGACTTCACCAAAATTCACATCGCAACTTCAATTTCACAATCATATCCTCGTCTCTTCCTCGCATTGCATCGACTCTTCTCAGTACCCATTTGATTTGGCAATTTCTTCTACACTCTTCTTCTTCCAAAGTGACTAGCACAAATAATTTGGACTTTTTTTTTTTTTTTGGCTCCGAAAATCCCAGATTCATACTAGGGCTAAACACAAAACCCAAAATTGATTCCCCAATCAACTACCTCCATCTCCGTCACCGACTACGTCGCCATGGACAACGACCTCCACTAGGACAGGACGCCGTGGGTCTGCGATGTTGGATTTTGGGTTTGTTCTGCCATGGCCAGAACCTACGGTAAAGGCGGGTGGACGTTGACGGTAATGATACCCAACAAGAAGAGAAAACGTCACTGAATATTTTGTCACCGACTACGATAATGTTAATTACCGCCTGCATATTTTGTCAAATTCTCTTCGTTACCGATGGACAACTAAGCCTATCTTGAAGCACTGTAACACCAACACTAGGTGACTAGCATGGACGAATAAAACTGATCGTCTTCTTTTTAATTTTTGTTTTGTTCCACCATAATTGTGTGGTTGAATTTTTCCTAAACAAGTTGAATGCTTCATTAACCTAAGTGAATGGGTTTGATTCTAATTGTATGGTTGAATTTTCCGACCACGCCATCGCGGTTCTGTTATTGGGCTTCTGTTACAGAAGACTAAGAAGCCCTTTGAAATCTTTAATTTAATAATGGCTTGAATTTCCCCATTTTTTCCTTTCTTTTCTTTAGAATTAAAGCTTTACGGTCTGAATGGCTTGAATTCCTTGTTTCTAGCATGAATTCTTAATATTAAGAAATGAAGTTATGCATACTGCATATTTGCTAATTTGGAGTTAATATATATATATATATATATATATATATATAGATCACTATATAAAAAGTGCGTACCGTGTAATTGAAGAGTGCTTGGGGAATAATGTCATTATCGGCTGTTGCTTTTTTAGACTCATAGAAACTTTTGAGTTTTGACAACCCTCCAAGTTGCATAATCTTTAAGTGAGGGAACACAATAATCTCATCACTTGTTATCTCTCCTCCTCCTCCTCCTTTTTGACCTGCAATTATTGCTGTAATGTTTTCCAATCCTCTTACCTCTAGTACTTCCAAAGCAGGGAATGAAACCTGCAAAATTCGTTATTTCAAAACATTATTACTAAATTTTGCAAACAAGCTTCTTTAATTCCCCTTCACTATTTTTGACTACAATCACTTGGTGAGCATCAAACAACTCTAATTTATCTTATTCTTCCATCATATGTGAGTTTTAATACTATCATTATTGTACTTGATACGGATTAAGTTTAGGTTAAGTTTAGAGAAAATTTGGACTCGTCAATTTATAAACCACAAAAGGCTCGCTTATACTTGCTCTATTTTGGAAGCTTTTCTATGTACTCTTGATGGACCAACACCTAACACACAGTCTGCTCTTGATTTAAAGGTTAAAAACCAAAATCTTTGGAGCCATATAAAAAATTATATATGTAGGAGTAATATTTGCCAAAATGATAATATTGGTCCTTCTTATTAAAAAAGTTGCACATATAATAATAATAATAATAATAATAATAATAATAATAATGGAACATGTTGAATTATCCATTCATTTAAAATTAGCATATAATTAAATAGTTAAAAAATTACAAAAAAAATAAATTAAGATTTCCTCAAAGCTAAATATAATGGGTAAAACAAATTGAGAAAATATTACCATCTAAAAGGAGCCGCATGCAAAAATAGCTAATTTTACTGAGTGGACATAAGCCTGATAATAGTGTGCTTCATGATCTAAGAGGAGCTTCATGCAAATAGTTAATATTATCAGCCTTAAGACCAAGTACTTGGGATCAAATTTTATTTATTTATTTATTTATTACTCCATATTTCATTTAGCATTAATTGCAAAACAGTTCTTGACGAATTTATATACGCGTATGTATATTCTTCTACAATATAAAAGTGTGGTCTACATTTTTATAAGTTATTGAGACAATGTCTCTTGAACCAATTATAATTGTTGCTCTAGGAGGACTTATTAATCCAATGCTTCCTAACTATCAAAATATATATATATATAGATGAAAATTATGTCTATAACTTGACTTAATCACATGGTTTTCTTCCTTCAAAATGGAGCAACTAAAATTTCATAAACTCTTTACGTAGTGTATGTGCGCATATTTGAAGGAATCCTGGTGATATCCAAAAGCAAGAAAACAAAATATAAAGAGCTATATTTAAACACAGTGAATCTAGCAAAATGAACAACCTGGGCATGAAGGCAGCAAATCAAAACGAACAAAAAAAACCAAAGCCCAAGAGGCAAAATGAAATCCTGCAGAAAGATGTAAATGCAAAGGCAAGAAGTGCGGGCTGAACAATTAAGAATGAGAGGTTGTAGCAAGAATCTGAGAGTTCCCAGATTTTGGTTGTGGACCCAGCTGTTGGAAAATGGGTCTATGCGGAAGCTTTTAAAAATCGTTTATGGTCCTATATTCGGCTATTAAAAATTTTATTCATTTCTATAAATGGTTTAGGGTTATGGGCTTTCTTGGGCTTCTGTTACTAAGAAGACCTTTAAATTCTTTAATTTAACAATTAATTAATACGTTTAATTTTTCATTCAAGTTTTCAATTCCAAGTTGAATTTGTATGCAATAAAGATTAATATTAAATGATTTAATTCAAAATAGTCCTGTAAGTAAGTGAAAAGAATAGACACAGAGAAAATCTAATTCACATTGCCACTTTTGTCATTTGTCTACTAGTAAAACGATACATGCTTTTAGGTGAGTAAAATTTAATTTAAAAATTAATATTCAACGAAGTAAGAAAATAATTATTTTGTGAAATAGTAATTAAAATTTAATTCTTTAAATTAATCACACTGATATATTTATTAATAATCAATGAATATAAATTGTCACAATATATTTTCAAACTCCTAAAATAATATCAAAATCAAGGCTATTTTTTATTTCAATTCACTAATTTTTATTTTTGTAATGAATAATATTCAACAAATAAATGAAACTGTTTTTAAAAAATAAAATAATAAAGAGGTTATTTGAGTTTCATAGAAACTCTTCTAAGAAAATATAAAACTCATAATAAACAGGTAATTTGAGTCTTTTGTTTAAGATTTATTGAAAAATTTATTTTGTGATTGACCAACTTATATATTTGTCATATATATGTGTATATGTATATCTACCATAAATGTGGCCTAAATTTTTATAAATACTTCTTCTCCTTTTTTCTTAGATTAAAAAAAAAAAAAAAAAAGTACTCACAAAGAAATCTGTTTTGATGGTTTTAGTTCATTAAAAGAATTCTCCAAGTAACATAACTTCACTAAACACAAAACCCAAAATTGATTCCCCAATCAACTACCTCCATCTCCGTCACCGACTACGGCGCCATGGACAACGACCTCCACTACGACAGGACGCCGTGGGTCTGCGATCTTGGATTTTGGGTTTGTTCAGCCATGGCCAGAACCACATTTGTAATAGTGATGATGTGTCTTCACCAATTGAGAAAATATTATCATATAAGAGGAGCTTCACAAAAATAGCTAATATTATCAGCCTTAAAGCCCATGTACTTGGGGTCAAATTTTATTCTAAGAATGTGGATTTCTATAAATTGTTTAGGGCTATGGGTTTTGTTATTGGGCTTCTGTTACACAAGACTTAGAAGCCCTTTAAATTCTCTAGTTTAATAATTGCTTGAGTTTCCCCAAATTTTTCCTTTCTTTTCTTTAGAATTAAAGCTTTATGGGCTGAACAGCTTGAATTCCAAGTTCCTAGCATGAATTCTAAATATTAAGAATTGAAGTTATGTATACTGCATATTTGTTAATTTGGAGTTAATATATGTGTGTGTATATATATAGTGCGTACCATGTAATTGAAAAAAACATATATATTTATATATATAGTGTGTACCATGTAATTGAAAAAAAATATATATATTTATAGTGCGGACCATGTAATTGAAAATATATATATATATATAGTGCGTACCGTGTAATTGAAGAGTGCTTCGGAAATATTGTCATTCTCGACTGCTGTCTTTTTGGACCCATAGAAACTTTTGAGTTTTGACAACCATTCAAGTTCCATATTCTTTAAATGAGGGAACACAATAATTTCATCACTTGTTATCTCTTCTTCTCCTTCTCTTGTTTGACATGCAATTATCACATTTACCAGTTGCTCACATTTAAGTATCTTTATGTTCCTTAGCTGGTGAAAGGATGATTCTTCTGCTGCTTCCGAACCTAGGAATAATTGGTTGTTCCATATTGCTGTAATGTTTTTCAATCCTCCTACCTCCAGTGCCTCCAAAGCAGGGAATGAAACCTGCAAAATTCGTTATTTCAAAACTTTATTACTAAATTTTGCAAACAAACTTCTTTAATTCCCCTTCACTATTTTTGACTGCAATCACTTCAAAATGCAAGGGATATATTTTCTGGGTTGGTGAGCATCAAACAACTCTTATTTATTTTATTCTTCCATCATAGGTGTGTTTTAATAATATCATTGTGGTACTTGATACAGGTTAAGTTTATGTTAAAGAGGGAGAAAATATGGACTCATCAATTTATAAACCACAAAAGGCTCGCTTACACTTACTCTATTTTGGAAGCTTTTCTATGTACTCTTGATGGACCAACACTTAACACACAGTCTGCTCTTTTTTTAAAGGCTAAAAACCTAAATCTTTGGAGCCATATAAAAAATTATATACGTAGGAATAATATTTGCCAAAATGATAATATTGGTCCTAAAACAATATCAAAATCAAGACTATTTTTTATTACAATTCACTAATATTTATTTTTGCAATGAATAATATTCAACAAATAAATGAAACTCTTTTTAAAAAATAAAATAATAAATAGGTTATTTGAGTTTTATAGAAACTCTTATAAGAAAATATAAAACTCATAATAAACAGGTAATTTGAGTTTTATAAAAACTGTTCTAAACAACTTATAATATAAGTTGTATAGAAATTTGTGTTAGATTTCTATAGAAATTCTTTAAAAATCTTTTTTATATTAATTAATAAATTTTTTTTATGTTAATTAATAAATATTTTTTATATAAATAAATAAATACTGAAATAGTGAAACTGTACTTTTAATATTAGTATGATAATTTGTGTTAGAGTTTTATATAAACTCTTTTATATTAATTAATAAATATGTAATTTGAGTTTTTTATTTTATATTTTATATTAATTAAAAATAAAAATAAAAACTCATAATATATAGAGAATTTATGTTAGAGTTCTATAGAAATTCTTTTAAAACTTTTTTTATATTAATTAATTAATTAATAATTTTTATATTAATAAATGAAATTCTAAAATACTAAAACTCTTTTTACTTCGAATAATAAAATAGTATAGATATAGATATAGATACAAATATAAATATAGATATTGATATTGATATTGACATTGATATAGATATATATATAGATAGATTGTTTAGACATTCACATGGTATTGTATTATATAAGCAATGATAGTGATTCCAAACACACCAATGGTGCCCCAAGGCCCAAACTTTTGATGCTGGAGGGTGAAAAATTCAGAGAATGAGAAGTGAGACTCCAAAGGCATATACCAGTTTTTGAAATAGGCTAATTAATTATGTACAACAAGTATACTTCCAACTGGTATATGAATAAAATATGTTTTGAGCAACAGAGCATACCTTTTCATTAAAGAAAGCTTGTGCAAGGTCGGAAGTATTGCAATCCGTGCTTGACGTTTTCTTCCTATTGGTGCAGCATATGCTTATGAGGTTTGGTAGTTCGTGCAACTCCATTTTCTTTAATTGACGAAAAGTAACTTTATTCATTACTTCCTCATCATCATCTAGAATTATTTCTTCCATGATTTCGCATTCCCGTATTTGTAATTCTTGGAGTTGTAGAAGAGCTCTTGCCGTGGATACGTGGAAGAGAAATTTCATTTTACAACGTCTAATATCTAACACACTTAATCTGTTGAAAGCACCGTGACTTTGAAAATTCCATTTTGGACTGCCAAGTAGATGTTCCATGTCACTAGAGTCCTCGATTCTAAGATATTTCAAATCCAGAAACCCTTTTCCATCTCCACATTGAAGCACATTCTTTAAACCTTCCACATTATGTAAAATAAGTGCTTCCGCATTCTCAATCAAAATATTGAACTCCTTCCTCATACTAATATCATCAAGTTTCAACATCCGTGCTCCTAAGTCTTCTTCATCATACCCAAAACCCTTAGTCCTCCCAACTGATATTTTGAATCTGTTCAAGGACTTAAAGCAGAGCTCATTGGGCAGTAGCATGCCATCTCCTATGTGAATTTGTAAAGTGGTTAAGCCTGTCAATGAATTAAGTTCATCAAGCCTTGCATTCCCTTCAACCCCCCATTCCTCAAAATCATGTGGAATGTACAGTTCCTCAATTTTGGATAGACTTTCTATGACACTTGATGGAATTATCTTAAGCTCTCTACAACAGCTCAAATCTAACCACCGCAAGTTAGTCAACTGTCTTACTTCCACAGCCACCTCTTCCAGATCATAATCAACAATGCTTAGTATCAAAAGATTTCTTAGTTCCTTGAGAAAAGCTAGGTTCTGCAGTTCACAGTTATGGAGTCGCAACATCCGAAGGCTGATCAGATTTAAAGGTGATGATGACAGCCGCACGGAACACAAATCTAAAACTTCTAACTTTTTCATCCCTTTAAAAAAATTATCTGGAACTTGAGGTTTACCATAGGTGTTGCATTCCAATACCAAGGTGCGTAATTCTGCACATTGTAATTCACAGTGAAGCTCACAAATTTGTTTGGACCTCAATGAAATTACCCTGCAGGATTCATATTCATTTTTCTCTGGCCACTCTCGGACATCTGTTTTTGCCAGAAATCCTTTTTCTTTTAATGCAATTGAGATGGCAACATCTCGAATGATGTCGTGCATTTTAACAAAGTCGTTGCTTTTACCTTCTAATAGCAAATGAGATTTCTTCAGGTTATCAACCAACACACTTGTTCTATCTCTTGCTGTTTTCATTGGATGTGAGCTGTCCATAAGAAACCTCGTTCCCACTCCATATATCACCAAGTCATCAATTGGAATCTCAGCATCCTCTGGAAACAAAGAACAGTGCAGAAAGCATGACCTAGCATCTGTGTGCTCTAGAAACTCGTAGCTCCACTTTATGCGTGAATACAACTCCTTGGTCACTCCCTTGATGTTTTCTCCCCTGCAATTTCTCAATTGTACACGTGCATCATTCCATGTATGCTTTTGTTTCTGTTCCCTTAGTGCTGCTCCAACTACAAGTATTGCCAATGGTAAACAACCACATTCTCTACACACTTCTTCCGCAACAGAATAAACTTCATGAGAAGGTTCAATAAAATCTCCAACTGTTTTCCTAAACAGGTACCATGCTTCACGTTCCTGTAGAAGCCCAATTGGGATGTTTTCTTGAACCCCCATCCGACTGAACACATCTTCTTCCCTAGAGGTTAGCAAAACTTTGATATGATTATCGCTAGATGGGATTCCTATTTCCTCCAGGTTAATTTTGTCATTCCAAATGTCATCAATAATTACAAGAATTTTTTTCCCATTTTTCAGTCTGTTGCACAGCTCCCCCTTTCTCCCAACTTCAGTATTTTTTTTGAATGAAAGTTCTAAACACTCTGCAAGCTCCTCTTGAATTCTTTTCAAATCTGGATTTTGGGAGAAGACTGCCTTGGCGACCTCATCAAAAAGCTTCTCTGTTTTAGCATGTTTGGCAATTTCTTCTGCCATTCTCGTCTTCCCACTACCTCCCATGCCATGTATTCCTATTTTGTAAATCATATCATTTTTCAACGCCTGCATGATCTGTTTACGAACGGATTCTCTGGATTCAAACTGCTCAAATTTTGTGGTACCACCTGTGTACCAAATATCACCCAAAGGAGCAGGGCGTCCAACAGTATCAAACTTGCTGGCTTGCTCTATTAGCCCCAAAACATCAGACAACAACTTTTTACCTTCCTTACCAAGCCGATACCTTGAACCAACATCAAAACATGACTTGATATTTTCATTGTTTGCCAATAATCTGTTCAGATCTTCCTCCTTTTTATTTACCTCCGAAAGCCAATTCAAAACATCTTTCTCAATGACTTCTCCATTCTTCTTGGCTGTTTCAACTTTTCCTTCAATCCTCTCCTTCACACCTCCAAGATTCTGGACTTGAGCATGGAGATCCTCGATATTTTTCTTGTAGTGAACCACATAACCAATTCGGCGGCACATGGATGCCAAAAAGCGCTCTGTAAGTACCTCTACCATCTTTCCCACCACAGTATTAATGACTTCCATTTTCAACTTTTTTTTTCCCTAAATATAAAGCAAATGACAGAAAATTAAATACTTACAGAGATCAACAAGTGTTAATATTGAAGAAAAACTAAAACATATATATAGTTGGGGACGCAGCTCTAACAAGATTAATGATTTTTTTTTTTTTTTTTTTTGAAGACATTAATTTTTTTATGCCTCCAACTCTAATTTTATTTTTTTAATGCAACCAAAATAAAACGTATCTTATTTTGTTTTAGGTATAAAAATAAAAATAAAAAAAAATTTTCTTTTTATTTGATTTAAATAAACTTTAATTTTAAAATTTTCCCAAAAAAAATCATAAAACAAACTTATACATATATACAAGTAGCCTAAGATCAAACTAAAAGATTTTGAACAAAAGGTAAGAGAGAGAAAAGCCCTATAACGTTGGAATCAAAAGTCTTCTTTCTTGGAACATGAAACAGAAATTATTTAGGATGCAATCAATCATGTATTTATAGACATACATGATTTAGGATTGTAATCAATCATGTATATATAGGAAACATGGAGACATATATATATATATATATAAACAAATCTGTTTATTTAGGATTGCAATCAATCATGTACTTATAATTTTATAATAATAACAACCATAACCATGGAGCTTAGGGTTTTCAGAAAACGATACATGCTATCAACCGTTTGATAAGATCATTTAACGGTTAAGATTTGGAAGGTGCCAAAAAAAAAAAAAAAAAAAAAAAAAAACAGAAGAAGAAGAAGAAGTTAAAAATATATATATATAGGGTTGGGTTAGGGTTGAACCCGAACCCAACCCAAACTCTGTTGGGTTTTGAGAAAACCCAACTCAAATTGGGCCCAATTTGTGAATCTAAAATCTAAGCCCCAAAAGTTTTGGGCTGGGTTCGGGTTGGGCCCAGTTGGCCCGCCCAAGTTGCATCCAAAAATTATATAAATCTAATAAAATAATAGGTTATAATAAAGTTACCCAATGGCTTTAACTCTCTTAGTAAAACACCAAAATAAAAGACGTGGTAAATTAAAAATTTTACAGGAAATAAAATAACTTTTTTTATTATAAATAATTAATTACTAATTTGTTTTGAGCAATTAAAATTTTAAATATTTATAGAAGTCAATTGTATTATCCTTTTACACGAGTATTTAGAATCCAGTTAGAAAGAATAATAAAAATTTACTCTTTTTATCCTGTTTTTTTTTTAAAAAAATAATAATAATAACTCCAAATTATATAATGCGACTCTTTTAAAAAAATAATAAAACTCTCTATAATAATAATAATAATAATAATAATAATAATAATAAAACTCCAAATTACATAAGGCAACTATTTTAAAAATATAATTAAAACTATTTTGTAATATATAAATATATAACTAAAAACTTTTATTTTTTAATAATAACAACACTAACTCCAAATTACATTAGGCAACTCTTTTATAAAAAATAATAAAAACTCTTTATAGAAACAAATAATAAATAAAAAAATTCTTACAAAATAAATAAATATAGCATAAAACTCAAAATTGGTTAAAAATTCAAAATTGGATACAAATTTTTGTATTTTTAATAATAATATAGATATAGATAATATTATATATCTTCTAATCACAAAACAAATGTAATATAATAATATTATAAGGTAGACAATATTCGAACTCTACTTTTCTCCAATTACACTACATTTACTTTTTCTTTTAAAGAAAATGAGAAGGAGATCCTTGAATTCATTAATGGATTATCCCTTAATTGATAATCTTATAATTACCCTTTATACAACTTTAACATTTTTTAACCTTCTTTACTATTTTTTTTTTCATTTTATTTATTTTTTCTAGAGGTCTTCTCAAAGAAAATAATATATTTCATACTAATAATTTAATTTTTTACTGTCAAAAGAAATAATTTATTTCATAATGACCTTTTTGTTTTTGTTTTTGTTTTTTTTTTTTTTTATTGGTACAATTGAAAGCCATATTATTCAACAAAGTTAACTATTTTTTCAGTCAAAAGAAGTAAAAAAAAATTTTTTTTTTTTTTTTTTTTTGGGTCTTATCAAAAGAGAGAATTTATTAAATTTATATATATATATATATATATATATATATATATATAATCCTTTTCTTTTCATACATTTTTTTCTTTTCTTTTGGGGATGTTGACAAAAAATATAATTTCTTAAAAAAAAAAAAATTTCCGGTTTTTTTTTTTTTTTTTTTTTTTTCATATCAAAAGAGATAAATTTTTAATGGTTACTTTTTATTTTTTTTGTCCAGTCAAAGAGTCAATTTATTGAACATAAATTTTTTTTTCTTGATCCTGTAAAAAAAATATACATATTAAATTTATTTTTTGTCTTGTCAAAAGAAACCTAAAATAATAAAGATTAGGGATAGAAGAGAAGAAATCTAAAATGACAAGTTTGTCATTTAAAAAGTAATAATTATTTATTTGTAAAGTTATAAAGTTAGGGTTAGAATTACTATTTCATTTAAGATTGTAGTGCAAATGTTGAAAAGTCAAGTAAAAAAGGTAATATAATAATGATACAACTTTGTCCAACACTAAAAAAAAAAAAAAAAAGATAAAATAATAATATTATAACTCTTTTAAATATTAAAATACATTATAAATCCCTTTTCAAATATTGTGCTAACCAACGAAGTAACGGTGTTGATAAAATTTCAATTATTTTCTTCAATTTTTTGTTATCATTTATGTTTCATAAATCTAAAAAAAATAGTAAAGGTGGTTTTTAAAAATCATATGCTTATAAAGCCAACATTTGAATTTAATCTGTAAGTTAACAAATGTTCATAAAACACCATAGTATAAATTACTACATTCAATGCCTAACCAATAATATAAATAAAAATAATTTTTATATTAATTAAAAATAAATTTTGAAATCAATATTTCTCTTAAAAATTTTCAATCCTAATCGTATGCTTCTACAAAAACAAAATAGACAATTAGTAAATTTTTCCAAATTAAAAGACATTATAGATCCTTACCCAAATTTCCTAAAAAATGAAATATTTGTATAACAATATTAATGAAGCAATGTTTTTGATCAGTCCAATTAATAAAATTTTGATTATTTTTTCAATTTTACTTCATGATACTATACTACATATTACTATACTCAACGAATGTATAATAACCTAAATAAAAATGATTTGTTATTATTATTAATTGAAAGTAAACTTTGAAATCATAAAAGAAAATTATTATTAATTTTTTCAGTTAGTAAATTTTTCTAAATTAAAAGAAATTATAAATCCTTACAAAAAAATTCTAAAAAGAATTAAATAATGGGGATGACGATAAGATAATATACTGCTAATGAATGAAGTAATGGATTCAATTAATAAAATTTTGATTATTTATTTCAATTTTACATCATTATTTATGTTTCATAAATCTAATAAAAAATATTAAAGGTCGTTTTGAAAAATCATATCCCTTATAAACTGAACATTGAATTTCATCCCCGAGTTACTTTTTATGTTCATAAAATACCGTAGTATAAATTAGTACACGCAATACATATGTAATAACATAAATAAAAACGAGTGACTTATTTTTTATTATTAATTTAAAGTGAAACTTTGAGATCATTATTTTTCTTTATAATTTTCAATCCTAATAGTATCTTTGCACCAAAAAAACAAAGTAAATTTTTCTCAATCCTAACTCAAATTTTTTGAAAAATGAAATACTGGGAATGAAAGACAATATTGTGCTAATCTGTTAAATTTTTTTTAAAAAAATTTACATCATCATTTAAAATTTTGCATCTAAGAATACAATATATATAATTACCTTATGCATATAAAGTTACAATTACCTTATACATATAAAATTACTTGTTCATCACACAAAACTCCATTTATATAAATTTCTCTTATATATACAGAGTCTCACACATCAATACAGTATAGTGTGTGTGTGTGTCTCTCTCTCTCTCATTTCTTACACTCTCTCTAAAACAAAGCTAAAGACTTTTCTTGCTTGCTTGGCCCCACCAAAAAAAATATATTTAAAAAAAAGGGTAAATGCAATATTGGGTTAGAATGAACATTGAAAGTAACGGCGGTACTGTTCATTATGCACGTCTTGAAATTTACTTCATGAATTGTATAGCTGCTCTATACATATACATATATATATATATCTATATATATTTATTGTATGTGCAAATAAAATTTGATAAGAACTCTACAAGAATTCGAAATGTGGAGATCGAGATTAATGGAAGAAATGGACTTGGAGCTAAGAGAAGGAACGGGATATCTTTGGTTTGCAATTAATATTCAAATGCTAGTTTTTGGGAAGGTACCTGTGAGATTGGAGTGAGTGATGGCCATTGTTTTGAGCTTCTTCAAGTTTCCAAGAATTATTGATGGACCTCCAGATCGACCCATGGTTTAAATTTTTTGACGGTAGAAAAATACATTCTTTTTCATGTAATAGAGTGATAAAAAATTAATAAATTAATTCAATAAAAAATACCTTCTCAGTATTGATTAAATTATTTTAAAATTTTTTACCTAAGATTTTTATTTAAATAATTAATTTCAAAAGTTAAAAATAAATTTATGCAAATTTAATGAGAAATACGTCATCAACTTAGATTGCCCACCAATCTTATTCCAAATTCACTGGTTGGATAAACTTTAGAATTCAAATGTAATTTAATTACAATTAAAATTTTATTGTTTGAATAACAACATTGATTTGGAATAGATATTTATATAGACAGATATATGATGTATAAGTAATTATATGAACACATATACAATATATTTGACAAATTTGAATCAAGATTGAATTAGTAAATATTAATGTATCAATAATACTTTGAGGAGGTAACTTAATATGCAGTCTAATATGAATTTTATTTTTTAAATATGTAATTCCACTATGTAGCACCCATAGCCTTTATCTCAAATATTATTTTTTGATATTTTTTATATTTTGTATGATATCTCTAGCCAAAAGGAAACTGCATGGAATTTTTTTAATATATTTATCAATGAAATAAAATCAAATAAATAAATAGCCAAAACTATTTAAGACACTCATATTTTTAATAATCAGTCACTTTTTGTCTTTCTAGTTGACGTCTTTTCAAAAATATTATTTTCTTTGTTTGACTAAATAATTAAAATTAAATTTTGATGATTAGATTTTTCCAATTCTATTGGCCATATAATATAAATTTCAATCATAAGACAAGTTTTATTTCACAAAATATCATTTGGAATTATCATCACCTCATGTCGCTATGATTATTATTATTATTATTATTATTTGTATATTGGCTCCCAAATTTTAAATAACTTTTTCTCTTTCTTGTAGAAATTAATTAATCAAGTAACTTAATTGGTGTATGGATGATTGGAGCTTTTTTCTTTTTCTTTTTTTTTCTTTTTTCTTTTTCTATTATTTATTTATTATAGAGGGGCACAAGATATATATGTGACCCACAGTGACACGATATATTATATAAATGTAAATTTAATTATATTGGGTAATAGGCGGCTGGCCACAGCCACATCTATTACAGTTTTTTTTTTTTTTTTTGGCAACATATTTAATGCTTCAGGTTTTTTTTTTTTTTTTTTTTTTTTTAACAAATTAAATGCCTTAGTTGAATAATTGAATTACCATTCTTTATGCATTTACTCTTCTTTATCTCGTTTCTTATCATTTTTAAATATCAAATAATCCTATATATATATATATATATATATAGAAATATTGAATTTTTATTTGATATTGCATGAGTGTTGGGGGTAGAGTGAGCATGGGAGAGAGAAGGGTGGTATGTTTGGTTTGTTTTGGTATTCGAAATCTTTTGTTGAATTATGGGATTCAAATCGTTGATTTGGGATGTTTAGAATTACAATGCAATTCCAATTCATGTTTTGAATGCGATAACTCGAATTTTTTTTAGATTTAAATTTACAATTTTATTTTATTATAATTACTAATATTATTTTAGTTTTTTAATAGTTGTGTGTGTGTAATCTGATGGGTTGTTTTTGGTTTTTGATGCATTATATATATTTTATATATATAATATACATGGCATCAGTTGGAGATTGAAGGGAGCAGTGAAATGGGAATTCAAATGATGAATTTTTTTGGGCCCACATGCAAGTTATTTACAGAGAATGGAATTTGGTTTTTTGTTTACATATTTTATAGATATATATATGTGTGTGTGTGGTCAGATCGAAGTGACCGAATTGAGTTTTGTCTCATGTTTATATATTATTTTATATATATATATATATATATATATATATATATAATGCATCACGGTGAAGGAAAGGAGCAGGTTGGTGATGAGATGATAATAAAGAAAATAAAAGAAGGCAGCGAAATGATGAAGGAAAGAGAGAAAGGTGATTGTGATGTGTAAGCGGGACCCACTTGGTGTCTTGTGGTGTAGCCTTAAATTGGTGCACGTGGGATATTTAGCTAGAGAGAGAGATGGTATGGTTTGTGAGTATCTGGAGATAAAGAAGATAAGAAATGAGAAGTATGAGGAAAGAAAGCATAGGTGGCGAGCCCACTGAAGATTTGTTTAGGCCAAATTTTCTTCTTTTCTGAATTTCCTTCACGTGGGATTCTGATGGAGTGAAGAATGTGTATTGGAAAGTAATGATGAGATTTTGGCATACCACTTTTTGACTGGGCTTGATTTCTGCACGTGGGCTTGGTGAGCTGAAAGTGGGATTGGGTCAGTGGAGTGGCCTATTTATTGAGTATGTTGTGTGCATTGCTAAGTAAGAAAGATAGAGGAAGGAAGTAACAGAATTTAGAGTGAGCAAAGAGAGAAACAAAGAGTGAGTTTTGAGGGACAGAGAAGAGGCCGAAAGTTGCAGACGAGGCCGGAGCTTGAGGCTTTTGACGATCCAGTGAGGGAATTAATCTTTTTCATTGTAGGGTTTTCTATATCTTGAATGGCATGGGGAGGTTTTGCTTCAATAGTTTTTATTAAATGCATATTTTGTTTGTATATATTCATTGGTGTATGTATATTTTGTGAAGCTGTTTTATTAAACCTCCATGAAACTCTTGTTATGATTTTTCCTACTAGGACTTTTGTCTCACCACCCTTTAGTTTCAGGTACCGAAGATGGACGGCGATCGCTAGATTTGGGCTTAGGCTGAAGAGTTGGCGTAGCGAGTTTTATTTTTATTATTTGGAGAAATTTTTTGTATATTTGAGGAAATTGTCTTTGTATAAAAGAGGTCATTTTTTTTTTTATAATCCTGGGTGTATTTTGATATATTTGAATTGAATAAATAGAGGATTTTATTAGAAAATTCGGGGCCGTGACATTGAATTACAATGCATTTCCAATCCAATCCGAAATTAGTTTGTACTATGCAAACAATAGATTTGGAATTGGAACTTTCAATTCCAATTTCAAAGCTCCAATATAGTGTTGCCATTAATAGTGGCAAATTATGATACGATCCGTCAGTACGACTCAAACTCGATACGAGATATATGGGTTTGAATTAACCTTAAACGGGTTTGGGTCATAAACGGATTGACACGATTAACCCGTTTATTTAACCGTGTCGGGTTAGGGTTGAGGGGTTCAACTCGTGTAACCTGTTTATGACTCGTTTAACTCAACATATTATAACCATAAATATGACTTATGTAATATGTTAGTACATGTTTAAACCCAATTACCATGGATAGTTAAGTCATTTTAACATAAACCTTGTCTACGCCTTATGAATTTTTTTCTTATTGTGAATATTTAGGTTAATTGTGACAATTTTTTTATTATTTGATTAAATATTAAATGTCTCGTTTTTGATAAACAGGTTATTAAATGTGTTAACACGATTACTCGTTTAGTAAACAGATCTGGTTAGTGTTGAGGATCTTTGACACGAGTATTAAAAGAGTCAGGTTTGAACTTACCTGTTTAGTATAATACCCTTACATCGACATGACACGATTATGACCCACAATACTCACGAACGAATTGCCACCCCTAGTTGCCATACTTACCTTGAATTTTTTTTCATAATTTACTTTAATAAGAAAAATAGATTAAGTATAATTAACAAAAAAAAAAATGCAACTTGTATCATACTATATCCTATATATAGGGACGGACCCAGCATGGGATTAGTGGGCCACCACTGGATTTTTAATATTTTCATTTTATACCATAATTTTTTTTAAATTTATGAAAATGCCCCACTAAAATTACAATTCGCTCCACTAGATTCTTTTTTTTAGCATTTTATACTTCAAATTTTTGATAATTTATGAAGATGCCCCCACTAGAATTATAATTTGTCCCACTGATTTTTTTTTTTTTTTTTCCTTTAAATTTTTTAAAATTTATTAAAAAACTCTATTAAAATTGCAAAAATAGCCCCATTATATAATTTTGTACTCACAAATTAAAAAGCCGCCCCCCTCACAAAATTTCCTAAGTCTGTCACTATCTGTATAGCCTAACATTAAACAAAATATTGTTTAATCCTAGTGGGTGACAACAGTTACCATATGTCTTTCAACATCGTTGAGTCAGTTCACAACCAAACCAACCACCCATTCTCTCCCCAACCCCACAAGAAAATTATGAGTTTTACGAAACCCGAAAACTTTGAGAAATTAAGATTGTACCCCACTAAAAAGAAAAGTTTTTATTTGACAGAAAATATTTTAGAGGTTGCCCCAAAAACTCTAAAGTTGTTATGAGATCGAGAGCTTGAGGATCCAATATTTAAATAAAATTTGATTAAAAAAATTATATGAATAATAAATTATTGGGCAAAACAAATTATGTGAATTTGAAGAACTATGTTATAAAATAGGAATATTAAAATTCTTAAATAGATTTTAAAAAATGTTCCTTATCGAGTGCACGAAGTAGAATATGAAAAATGAAATCGATGTTCTAGCTAAATGAAATCACAAATTTAACTCTAGGTGGTCATGAATTTAAAGTGTTCACATCCACATTTGTTCTCTCATTCTAATGTGCAAGTTTGCAAAATTGAACACATTAGTCTTATATTCCTTTTCCACATGTAAGACGGGTTCATATTTATGGGATGATGTTAGAAACTGACAAACATTATCAAATATATTTCGTAATAGTTTATTATAAATCTAAACAATCCCTAAAACTTAAAATAATTAAAATGTTTGCGATGGGCTGTTGGCGGCCTAATTCACTTAGACCAGGATTGATATTGACCCATCAATATTTGACCCAACGCCCATTTGCCAACCCTACCTCTAATAAAATCAGGGTATTTTTAAGCTAAATTTACCTTTTTACGCCCAAATATTTCAGAATAAAAATATCAAAATGTCTTATAATGAAAAGACTAAATTATTGAATACTTCAGGATTTTTGTTCACAACCTTACCCGCTGTCACCAAGGGCGGAGGGAGGGGTGGGCGAAGGTGGGCTTCAGCCCACCCTAAAATTTTTTTTTTTTTTTTTTACTACATTACTTTCAGCCTAGCCCAAAAAAAAAAAAAAATTTAGCCCACCCAAAATTAGCCCAATCCTAAATTAGCCCACCCCAATCAACAATCCTGGATCCGCCCTTGGCTGTCACCGCCCCAACCAAATTAACCACCTCCCTCCGACGGACCGACCACTGTTGCCAGTCACTTGCCGCCACCACCACCATCCCTCTCCTCTCTCTTTCCGTTCTCTCTCCTCTGTACCTCATATTTTCTCCACCCACCGTTCCAAGATTCATAAAAATCATAAAACAAATTTTACACTCCACCATGTTCAAAACTCATTTTCAAAACAAAGCTCTATCAAGGCAGCATATGATATACACAGAGCTACACATCCGTGTATGCCTAGGGAATATTTGTTTGGAGAAACTAAAAGAGATTTATAGTTGAAGATTTGTTTGGAGAAACTAAAAAGGATGTTACCTCTAACAAGCTTGAAGATTTGTTTGGACAGAGAGCTAGGATGCTGTCTCAATTCATCCACCAACACACCAAGTCTGATTCCAAAACAAGAGAGGGATCAGAAAGACAAAGAAGACTTAAAGCAGCAGATAGATGCTTACTATATGTGGTACTTATAAAATAAACACACACATACAAATCTCATGTGAGTGGAGAAAGATTAATTTAGAGATGATAGATAATAAGTAAAGAATCATGGTAAAAAAAATATAAAAAAAAAAAGAAAAAAAGGGTAAATTCATTCTCTAATGAATATTAGTCAATAGGACCATTTTTAACTCACCAGCTACCTTTTTTTCAAAGATTTTTCCCTTCTTTTTAATTAATTAATTATTTTTATTTATTTATTTATTTTTTCCAAAGGAAAGCATCAATTGAAGTACAGAGATACTCAGGTACTTACCTCTAGCAAGCTTAAGGTTTGTTTGTACAGAGCTAGTAATGTATCTCAATTCCACCAGCAAACCAAGACTGAGATGGATGAGAAAGAGAGAGAATTGAACGCAGCAGATGAAATCATACTCATATTGCATCTATATATTATTCTCCACCTCTCCCTTATGTCCTTCAACTTTTTCTCACACTATCACCTCCCTAACTCTAGACTCTAGTGGATGCCACCACCAAAGACTCATCATTCAATAATATGGGTCATAGCTTCATCATTCAATAGAATAAGAAAGTTATCCGAGAGTTGAAGTGGCAATGTTACAACGATCAGTAGCTCTGCAGCGAAGATCAAATTGAAGTTTGATGAAGTTATGAGCATGAATCTGATTGAAGAAATCAGAAGGCAAATAGCAGGGGTTTCCACCAGTGGTTCGACATTGTGTTGGAAGTTAATTCAAATTTAACTTCGTTGATATCGTCAATGTTATCTTGACAATTAGAGTTTTGAAATTAAATTAAAATGATTGATAGGTTTAGGTTGTTAGAGTTTGAGTGATGGTGACTATATATCATTCAGATGATTACGTTCTTTGCATATTTAAAGGATGTGATTGTAATCATATATGTATCCCAAAATTAATATAATTTACGTGATTGTTTCCTTTCACGTATATTTTTCGTCCTGTTGTTACGTGTTGGTTCATTAATAGCCAAAAAGGCTAACAGTGGTATCAGAGCAATCGACGATCTGCCGTGATTACACACAAAAGCATGAAAAAGGTTGAGGTAAAAAAAAAAAAAAAAAAAAAACGATGGCCGCAACAGATAATAACAACTCTCATCCATTTGTTCCTACTTTCAAAGGTGAAAATTACTAGTTTTGGAATATTAAAATGAAAACAATTTTTATTTCTCTTGATTTGTGAGAACTGGTTAAGAGTGGTTATGTAGAAAATGATACTCACGAAGAGAAAGTTACTGCTGCACAAAAAACAACATTGAAAGAAAACAAGAAGAAAGATGCCAAGGCCTTGTCCTATATCCAACAAGGGTTAGACGACACTATTTTTCCAAGAATGATGGGAGCCAAAACATCCAAGGAAGCATGGAAGTTGCTTCAGAATGAGTACGAATGATCGAGTCAGGTAATTACTTTAAGGTTTCAAACTCTCCGTCGTGAGTTTGAAACATTGATGACGAAAAGTTCTGAGTCAATTCATGTTTACCAAATTAGAGTTACTTCTATTGTTAATCAAGTAAAATATCTTGGTGAAAATTTGAATAATAAAAAAATCATTGAAAAAGTTTTGAGAAGTCTAACTCCTAAATTCAATAGTGTCATAGCTGTAATTGAGGATTCAAAAGTTTTATCTAAGTTGTCTTTTACTTAATTGATGGGAAATGCATGAAAAAAGATTAAACAGGTCTACAGAAAGTCAAGTGGAGCAAGCTTTACAAACAAAATTGGATTATGATGGTGGGTTTGAAGGAAAAGGATAACATTAGTTATGAGGTAAAGGGAAGGGAAGGGAAGGGAAGGGAAGGGAAGGGAAGGGAAGGATAATTTTAACCTCCTATCACTTTTGGTTGATTAATGAAGGAAAATAAAGGGAAGGATAATAATCATGTTTAGGAAAAGAAAGAAAATAGAATTATTTTAATAAAATTACTATTCTTTAATACTTTAAAAGATAAATTTATATATATATAAATATATATTGTCTCTTGTTAAGGCCCAAGGCTGATGGGCCACCAGAAAAGAAAGAAAATATTTTTAGGGCAAATCATTTCAGCCTCACCAATCGCCTCCATCTCTATTCTCGTTGTCGACTCTGAACTTGCCCTCTCTCACTCTCTCTGCAACTGCAAACTACAAGAATCAGAAGTTTACAACCCATATATTTCAGTTTATATATTTGTCTGCACAAATCAAAAGTTCAAAACCCATATCGGCATATCATTTTAGATTGTTCAAAAAATCAAAACCGATATCTTTTAGTTTCCATCGCTCGCTGTTCGTCACTGTTTGCAAGCTTCAGCTGTTGGCCTTCTATCTGTCAACTCTCAAGCTTGCCCCCCTCCCTCTCTCTGCAACTGCTAACGTATGGGTTTTGTTTTATTTTATTTTATTCTAAATCAACTAATCAAGGTCTGTAATTCTTGTTTTGCAAACTAAATTCACTATAATCAAGGGCAGATTTGGCATCAGAAATCACACACCAAGCCTCTCCTTCCCTTTCCTCCCATTTCCTCCCATTTTTGGGAGGATTATAAAACTTACTGTTAAGCCTATTTCTATCCCTCCAAAACCCTCCATTCCCTTTCCTTTCCTTCCAACTTTCAGCCACAAACATGTTTTTTTATCACCCTCCATAACCTTTCTTTTCTTTTCCTCCCATTTCCACTCTACCAAACTGAGCCTAAAAGAGGCTCAAATAGAAAAGGGAAAAACTATAGAGTTCAAGGCAAAATAGGGAATCAATTCAATGGAAAAGGGAGACAATTCAATAAAGGTAATGGTGAAATTTTTATATGTTTTCATTGTAGGAAGAAGGGTTATATTGAAAAGGATTGTTGGTACAAAAATGAGAATTCTAATATCCCTCAGTGTTCCTTTTGTGAAAATTATTGACATAATGAAAAAAACTGTTGGTATAATCCTAAAAATCAAGCTAACTTTCATGAGGAAAGAGTTGATGAAGGAAAAGTTGAAGATGAAAATGTTAATGATGAACATCTATTCATATCTTGCCTCAATGCCACAGGAAAAAAATATATGGTATCTTGACTGTGGTTGTAGTAACCATATGACCGGAGATGAATCTATTTTTGTTAAACTTGATGAATTTGTAAAGTCTAAGGTGCGTATGGGGAACGACAAAAGGGTGCAAGTTCAAGGCAAATGAACCGTTGCAGTGAATACAAATTTTGGTAAAAAATTGATTGATGAGGTTTTGTATGTTCCAGGTTTGGCTCAAAATTTGATCAGTTTGGGACAACTACTCAAGAAAGGTTGTTCAGTTATGTTTGAAGATGACAGATGTATGTTGTACAACAAAGGAGATAAAAAATTAATATTGTTTTTAAAAATGTATGATAACAATATTTATCCTCTTGATTTTTCTAAGCTCAAGGATGATGATAAGAAGAAAGAAGTGGTTACATGCACTGTAAAAACAACTTCAGAAAAAGCATTGAGAATTCAAAAGACAAAGAAGAAACCAATGGAAGATAAGCCTGAAAAGACTGAAATTTCAAACAAAACAAAGCGTGGAAGAAGCAACAATACTGGCAGAAGATTCAAAAGAAACAGTAGCAGTCATCGTGGTAGAAATTTGAAGACTTACCCTAAAATTTGTTAAAGTTGTTTAAAATTTTGAATTAAGGGGGAGTGTTGGAAGTTAATTCAAATTTAACTTCATTGATATCATCAATATTCTCTTGACAGTTAGAGTTTTGAAATTAAAATAAAATAATTGATAGGTTGAGGTTGTTAGAGTTTGAATGATGGTGATTATATATCATTCAGATGATTACATTTTCTGCCTATTTAAAGGATGTGATTGTAATCATATATGTATCCCAAAATTAATATAATTTACACGATTGTTTCCTTTCACGTATATTTTCCTTCCTATTCTTGTTGTTACGTGTTGGTTCATTAATAGCCAAAAAGGCTAACACATTGAATGTTGAAAGTAGAGGAAAGGGTTCAAACAAGAAAAAGGGCAACGGTAATAGAAACAGAAGCATATCAAAGTCAAGGAATGGAAGGATACAGTCTCAAAATTTCAGGAATTCCACAAATCTCACTGACGTTGAATGTTAGAATTGTGGAAAGAAGGGACATTACTGTGTTGATTGCAGACTTCCAAAGAAGGGAATCGAAAGAAAAACTGAAGCAAATGTTGTCTAAGAAAAATCAGATAATGTATTAATATGCTCTTTGGAGAGCAAGGCAGAGTCATAGGTTTTAAATTCTGGCGCATCGTTTCATAGCGCATCTTTTCATGGGTAACCTTGGCAAGGTGTATCTTAATGATGATCAGCCTTGCAGCGTCGTTGGCAAAAGAGAAGTGCAAATCAAGTTGAATGGGTCAGCTTGGAAGTTGAAGGATGTGAGACACATTCTTGACTTAAGGAAAAATCTGATTTCGGTGGGACAATTGTTAGATAAAGTGTTTGTTACAACCTTCAATGGAGACTCGTGGAAAGTTTCCAGAGGCGCTATAACCATTACACGTGGTAGGAAATCTGGTACTTTCTACACAACTACCAGTACTTGTGGGTCTATAGCAGTTGTAAAAAATAGAAAAGATCACAACCTTTGGCACCAGAGACTAGGTTACATGAGTGAAAGGGGGCTCAAGATTATGCACTCAAAGGGGAAACTACAAAGCATACGAGCAATTGATATTGAATTCTGTGAGAGTTGCGTGATTGGCAAGTAGAAGAGGGTTAATTTCAAGAAGAGTGTCAGAGATCTCAGAAAGAAGAAACTTGAGCTAGTTCACACAGATGTCTGGAGGCCAGCCACTGTCTCATCCATTGGCGGAAAATCCTATTTCGTGACTTTCATTGATGATCACATGAGGAAGATATGGGTTTATTTTTTGAAGCACAAATCTGAGGTATTTGATCTGTTCAAGAAGTGGAAGGCCATGGTGGAGAATGAGATATGTTTAAAGATCAAGAGGTTGATGTCAGATGATGGTGGTGAGTATGAAGGCACTGGTTCAAGAAGTTCTGTTTTGATAATAGGATTAGACTAGAGAGGACTGTGCAAGGAACCCCACAACAGAATGGGGTGGCAGAACGGATGAACCGAACATTGACAGAGAGAGCCAGAAGCATGTGCATAAATTCAGGTCTACCCAAAAAGTTTTGGGCAAAAACAGTTAATACAACATCCTACCTAATTAATCATGGACTATTGGTGCCTTTAGAGCATCGAACACTAGAAGAGGTATGGAATGGCAAAGAGGTAAATCTTTCAGGGTTGAAAGTTTTTTGTTGTATTCCATATGCGCATATTAGTGACCATGCTAGGGGAAAGCTCGACCCTAAGTCACTAAAATGTATCTTCGTTGGGTATGTCGAAGATGAGTTTGGTTATTAACTCTGGGATAATCAGAACAAGAAAATCATCAGAAGTAGAGATGTGATTTTTCAACGAGAAGATGATGTACAAGGATAAAGATGCAGCACAGTGAACTAGTCTTGTACAGAGTAAGCCTGAGTTTGTTGAGTTGGATGATGATCTAGAGAGCATTGACGCAGAGTAGATATATGAGGGTTCTTGGCCAGAACTCACAGAGCATAGTTCACCGCGGATTCTAACTCCTAGGTCTGCACCCAAAAGGTCCACGAGTTCTCATGTACCGAATCAAAAATATATGGATTATATGTTGCTCACAGATAATAGTGAGCCTGAATGCTATGATGAAACATGTCAGGTTAAAGATGTTAGCAAGTGGGAGCTTGGAATGGAAGATGAGATGAAGTCCCTTATTTCCAACAAAACATGAGAACTAACCAAGTTGCCCATGGGGAAGAAAGCTCTTCACAATAAATGGGTGTACAGGGTAAAAGAGGAATACGATGGTTCCAAGAGATACAAGGCAAGATTGGTGATCAAAGGCTTTCAGCAAAAGCAAGACATTGACTACACAAACATTTTTTTTCCCCGGTTGTGAAACTGAGTACCATTCACTCAGTTCTTAGCATTGTTGCAGCAGAGGGGTTGCACCTTGAGCAGTTAGATGTCAAAACTACTTTCCTCCATGGTGACCTAGAGAATGAGATTTACATGCAACAACCGGATGGTTTCTCAGTCAAAGGGAAAGAGAAACTAGCGTGCAAGTTGAAGAAAAACTTGTATAGATTGAAGCAAGCCCCGAGGCAGTGGTACAAGAAGTTTAATGGTTTTATGAAGCGACATTGGCTACAACAAGTGCAACGCTGACCATTGCTACTACTTTAAGAGGTTCAAGTCAAGTTTCATTATTCTTCTACTTTATGTTGATGACATATTAGTGACACGTTCTGATTTTGAAGAAATCAACAAATTGAAGAAGCAGTTGTCTGGTGAATTCGAGATGAAGGATCTTGGTAAAGCAAAACAAATTCTTGGGATGAGGATTAGCAAAAACAAGCAGAAAGGTACTTTACAGTTGTCTCAGGCTGAGTACTTTGAACGGGTTTTGAAGAGGTTCAACATGAATAATGCTAAAGCGGTGAGTACTCCATTAGCTAATCACTTTCGATTATCTTAAGATTAGTGTCTGAAGATAGAGGATAAGAAAACTTCGTGGCTAAAATTCCATATGCCTCAGCCAATGGAAGTTTGATGTATGCTATTGTGTGCACAAGACCAGACATTGCATATGCAGTAGGAGCAGTAAGCAGGTTCATGAAGGATCCAGGTAAGCTACACTGGGAAGCAGTGAAGTGGATATTGAGATATCTACGGGGTACCACAGACAGATGCCTATGTTTTAGAAGGGGTGAGGTAAAGCTACATGATTATGTAGATTCAGACTTTGCTGGTGAGGTGGACCACAAAAGAAGTACTACCAGGTATGTGTTCACGGTGGGTACAACTGCAGTTAGTTGGGTTTCGCAAATACAAAGGATTATAACATTATCTACTATAAAGGCAGAGTATGTCGCGATGATAGAGGTCAGTAAGGAGATGATTTGGTTACAAGCTTTGTTGACTGAGTTGTGATTCGAACATGTGAAGAATGTTTTGCACAGTGATAGTCAGAGTGCGATACATCTGGCAAAGAATTCAACATTTCATTCAAGGACAAAACATATAGGATTTCGATATCACTTCATCAGCTCTTTTTTCAAAGATGGGGTGTTAACACTTGAGAAAATACTTGGCACCAAGAATCCAGCTGACATGTTGACCAAGACAGTGACCATGGAGAAACTGAAGTTGTGCGCAACTTCAGTCAGTCTTCTAGCTTGAAGACAGAAAGAAGCGCATCGACATGCATAGGACATGCATAAGAAGAAGATGGAATGGGTTTACAAGTGCTCCTGCCTCCAAGTGGGAGATTGTTGTGGTTTTGTGGAGTCTGATTAGGTGAAAGATTTTTAGGTATGGAAACTTCAAGACTACTAAGTTTTAGGGGAAATTTGTTTTAACTTCCTTATTGGTTTTGGATTCTACAAAAGGCAATTTCTTGTATGACAAATTATTTGGAGCTATATATATCAACTTTAATCAGATCTTAGGGTGTGGTAAAAATAGAGAGAAGAAAAAAGAGAGGATCATCACACGTGTTGTGCGATTGATTAATTTGTGCCAATACAAGAGAAAACAATTGAGAGAGATTGCAAGAAAATTTTTCATTGTAATTCTTCATCTTCTTCATAAGTGAATTTGTTCGGTGTGCTCCATGGACGTAGCCCTAAGATTTGGGTGAATCATGTATATCTCGTGTTTTTGTGTGTGATTTTTTTATTCTTCGTAATTGTTTATTTATTCTTTGAACAATATTGTTTATTTTGTGTTTTTGTGACAACAACTGGTATCAAATCCAGTTGATTGTGCAGAGCAACTCTAACAGTATCATCACTAAAACAAGAATATTAGGTCCCTAAGTCATCGGTCTAGGTTGGTACTCAAATCAAAATTTTCTCAATGCATTGTAATGCACCATTTTCAAGACTTTTGGAGTTCATTAAGTTTTTTTCTAAGATTCATAAAAATCATAAAATAATTTTTACAATCCACTATAGTCAAAACATCTCTTTTCCGAACGTACAACGGCGAATTTGATTCTTTCCTCTTCAAATGAAGGATATGTAAGCAGCCTAAGGTTGCCTATGTGCTCCATTCAAACAATAAAACACATCCCTTAAATTTGGACAATACTCAGGTACTCACTAGTGAGGATTTACAACATACTCATTACTGATGTGAACCAATAATAAATGGACACGTGATTTTTAATTACTAAATCAAAGATGATAGTGTAGATATTCACTTGCAAATCAGATATGATGATTTGATTATCATATATTATTTGGTAATTAAAATAGAACGTGTCCATTTATTATTGGTCCACATCAGCGGTGAGTATATTGTAAATTCTCACTAGTGAGGACCCAAGTATTGTTCCTTAAATTTAACATTTAGGTTGTTCCTAAATAAGGCAATTCATTTCATCACTCTGTCCACAGCAATTTTAAAAATCCATAGCTACCTATTTCCTTAAATATAAACCAAAAGGCAGCATAGGAAATACAGAGAGCTACAACCAAGGGAAGATTTCTTTGGAGAAACTAAAAGAGATGTTACCTCTAACAAGCTTGAAGATTTGTTTGGACAGAGCTAGTAAGGTGTCTCAATTCATCCACCAAGTCTGATTTCAAAACATGAGAGGGATAAAAAAGACAAAGAAGACTTAAAGCAGCAGATAGATACTTACTATTTATGGTACTTATAAATAAACACACACATACAAATCTCATGTGAGTGGAGAGATTAATTTAGAGATGAGAGAGAATGACTTGGAAGTAAAGAACCATGGTAAGAGAGAATGACACGAAAAATAATTTACATCAAAAGAAATGGAGCCAAAAGAGATTTATAGTTGAAGATTTGTTTGGAGAAACTAAAAGGGATGTTACCTATAACAAGCTTGAAGATTTGTTTGGACAGAGCTAGTAAGGTGTCTCAATTCATCCACCAAGTCTGATTTCAAAACAAGAGAGGGATCAGAAAGACAAAGAAGACTTAAAGCAGCAGATAGATGCTTACTATATGTGGTACTTAGAAAATAAACACACACATACAAATCTCATGTCAGTGGAGAGATTAATTTAGAGATTATAGAGAATAAGAAAAGAATCATGGTAAGAGAGAAAAAAAAAAAAAAAAGAAACAAAAAAGAAGAAGAAGAAGAGTAAATTCATTCTCTGATGGATATTAGTCAATAGGACCATTTTTAAATCACCAGCTACCTTTTTAAAAAGATTTTTCCATTCTTTTTAAAAAAAAATTCCCAAAGGAAAGCATCAATTGAAGTACAGAGAGATACTCGGGGACTTGCCTCTAGCAAGCTTAAAGATTTGTTTGGACCGACACACCAAGACTGAGATGGATCAGAAAGAGAGAGAACTGAACGAAATCATACTCACATATTAATATTGCCATCTCCACCTCTTCCCATTTCTCCTTCAACTTTTTCTCACTGGAGCTTTCACACTGTCACCTCCCTAACTCTAGTGGATGCAATGCGACCACCAAAAACTCATCATTCAATAATATGGACCATAGCTTCACCATTTAAGAAAGTGACAATTTACTACTACTACATGCATATCCACCAAACTATTATTTATTTTTAACAGTCTATATACGAAGTTAAAGCCCACTTTACGCTATTATTAAAACTTGAATACAGGGTGTGTTCGGTTGCATGAAATTAAAATTTTACAAATAATGACTAAGAAAAAAAATTCCACCAATTTTAATTTCAAAACTTCAATTCCATGCAGCTGAATACATCCTAAGATTGTGTAGTTTGGAAAAGAAAAGAAAAGGATAAGATGGTTACAATAAAAGAAAAGAAAAGAAATGAAATGAGAGAGAGTTTACTTGAGGAGAGAAAGAAAGGCAAACTATTTAAATGACATTTAGCCTTAAGTTTGGCACTTTTTGGATAACGACACCCCGAATTTGATAAATCAAAGGATAATAAATTTATTCCACTTTCAAGTGTGTTTACAATTTACCTATTTTAAAACAGCTCAAAAATTACATGACAATTAAAAATTGAGGGATTTTTTTTCCTTGCAACTTGGTTCACTTTAGGTGGACAAATGACAGCTTTCATCTCAGCCTGAAAGTAAAAAAAATTTAATTTGTTTTGCCGTTGAATCATTGATGTCTTAGACCAACAAATATCTTGACCAGTTCAATTTTTTTTCGGTTTAGTGTAGGAGAATTTGGGTGGAGAAACCATAACTTTTACGTTGTCTTGAAAATTTTAATTTCTTTTTGACCAATTGAAATGTTGATGTCTCTGCTAGCAAAATTTCCAGAAAAGTGTTCCAAAATTATTGAAGTTTGACATAAATCAATTTTGTGTTGACGTGTCATTTGAAATCTTTGCTTTTGAGATAATAAATAAATAAAAAACAACATTGGCATCTTTATTCTACATTTAACTTCACTTGTTTTTTAAAAAAATAAAAGAAAAATATAATGGGTTTGGGATTAGGGTCTAACTATACTATTTCTAAAGAAGAAAGACAGGGAAAAAATTTATAAAAAAAAAAAAAAAAAAAAATTTCCACTTAATTTTTTTCCTTCGTTTTTTAGTTCTATTTCTAGGTTTATGTGAACGAAAATTATTTCATAATTTCACACCATGGATTAGATCAAACACACGGTGACAGACTAAGCACATGTGCTTTCAATTATTGCCATTTCCACCTCTTCTCCTTCAACGACGCACCACCAATGATTCAATAGTTTGGGCCATAGGTTCATCATTCAATAGAAAGGGGAAAGAGACAAGTCACGGACAACAACCAGTACTACCACCATTAAAGCAAGGCATCTTAATTCACTGCATAGATCTTATAATTTGCTCTATATTTTTTTTATTTAATTTTAATTTATGAGTAAAAATAAAAAAATAAATAAAGAAGCAAGTTATGCTTATTCACCCCCTCTACATGATTTTAAAATATATTTCCACAACCATTTTATATCTTTTAAAATTAAGGGTTAATTTTATTGACATTCCCTCAGCTTTATCAAATATCACATTAAAACAATGTGTTAATTACAACGACATTCCTGTTTGACGTATTGACAGTCATATATAACTAGCTGTTTTTTGGATGATGACACCCCTTTAGATTTAATAAAGTTAACAAAGACACCCCCAAGAGTCCAAACATGCCCTTAGAAGATGTGAAAAGACGAGAGTGCCCTCAGTATTTAATTCATTTTAACCATAAAATATTAAACATTTTAAAAAGACTAAAACACCCTTATATAATATTTGTTACACAACCCCAACCACCCCACCCTCCATCACCTACTGTCTCTTCATCCTCCACACCACCACCGCTAAGCTCCACAACAGCCACCATTTCTCTCTATTGTCCACTACCATGGCTGCAAACCCCATATTCTCTCTCTCTTTCTACAAATCACAAACCCTAATTTTCACTATATATATATATACACACACACACACATACATATATTATGTATTTTGGGGATCCGACCACTGTTACCACCATTTCTCTGACCTTCCTTGAATTGATCAACCTTCTTCTCTAACTTATAACAATTTATGGGCATTTTCTTCACCAAAATACGTCGATTTCGAACCTTAGGGTTTGTGGAATTTTATGAATCAATTTGGACTGATTTGATCTTTATCGGATGGTGGAACTTGGGGTTTTGCGGTGGCGACCCACCCCTATTCTTCTTCTTCTTCAATGACCCCAAAGACCCACCGCTCTTCTTGTTCAACCACTTCTTCTTCTTCATCAACGAAAGCTACAACTACCAGCTAGAAATAGAAGACGGCAGCCACTTACCAACGAACCGAGTCGCGTGAAGCTAGAAACACCTGCGCCGATGTATGAAGCAAGAAGACGACCAGTGATGAGGCTAGGGACACAACACAGGGCGACGACAGTAAGAAAACTCCGGCGATAGCAAAGAATGAGGTCGCGGTACGAAGAAACAGATTAGAAATTTCACGATCAGACAACTCGTCGATGATGAAGACGCCAACACACAGAGAAGTCTTCGGCTACTGTATTGTCCCTTTGGTTACGATCCTCCAAATTTGGTCACAAGAAAAAATACAACCCCCGAATCAAAATATCAAGGGCTGGGCAAACCCAAATCATAATCACTTTCACAGACGGTGATCGATTTCTGTCAATCTTTTACACCCCTAGTGATAGCGCCGACGAATCACATAGACCAACCAATCAACACGAAGCATAGGCGGCAGCTTTCTCCTCTCTCTTTTTCGTCGACATTAATGAAGAAGAAAAAAATTGAAGAGAAAAAAAAAGAAGAGAGAGAAAGAGAAAGCAGAGGGGAAACAGAAAGTTTTAGGAGGAGGAGAGAGAGGAGAGACAAAAAAAACAAAAAAAAAAATTATTCCTAATCTCAAGAATATTCAATCGGACGGTCTGGATGCGAGAGCGTGCCGCTGCTGTTGCTAGCGCGCTCTTGCAATAGCATTTCCCTATGGGCAATAGTGTATATATATAAGGGCAAATTTGACTTTTTATGAGTTCTAATATTTTACAAAAAAATGAATTAATATTGAAGGGCAATATCGTCTTTTTGAACGTTTTAAGGGCTTGTTTGGATTACAATTATCACATGAGGTGTCTTTGTCCAAAAAAAAGTTAAGTTGTATAGGACTGTCAATATATCAAATCTCAGGGGGTGGTGTTGCAATTAACCTTAAAATAATTTTCGAAAATAACTACCACTTAGATCAAATTTTACTTTTTGTCAAAAACATGTAAAAAGATAATTTTACCCTTATTTTTTAAATTTGTTTTATTCCAAAATATCATTAAATTTAAAAAGACAAAATTACCCCCACTAGTTTCTCTCTCTAAAATTCATCCACCCCACCACTGCCATCCTCCACGAAGGACCACAGCCACCCACATCATTTCTTCCAAGAAATGGCTACCCAATAAAACCCTCAAAATCTTCATATACAGATATAAATATATATATATGAAGCTTGGTTTGATCAGAGGAAAAAAGCCTACCGTTGTCTTTGGCGTTCACCGGAAGATATATATATATATACATATGAAGCTTGGTTTGATCAGAGGAAAAAAGCCTACCGTTATCTTTGGAGTTCACCGGAAGATATATATATATACACATAAGAAGCTTGGTTTGATCAGAGGAGAGATAAACAATGAAGACATATATATATGTATATATATTAATATTGCCATCTCCACCTCTTCCCTTACTTTTTCTCACTATCACCTCCCTAACTCTAGTGGATGCCACCACCAAAGACTAATCGTTCAATAATCTGGGCCATAGGTTCAACATTCAATGGTATAAGAAAGTGACAACTTACGACTACCTTCATATCCACCAACTATTATTTATTTATTTCTTTTTAACAGACTCTATACAAAGTTAATGCTCGCTTTGCTACTATTAAAACTTGAACACATTAATAAGATGTGTTCGTCGTATGGAATTAAAATTTATAAAATTAAAAAAATAATAATAATAAGTAAAAAAAATTTCATCAAATTTAATTTCGAAACTCTAATTCTAAACAATTGAACACACTCTAAAGCTATGTCTAGAAAAAAAACAAAGATAAGACCTAAGTCACATAATGCGAGAGCAGGAGTAGGAGTGCGAAAGCGACAAAATATAAAATTAGTTGAGAGCAGGAGCATCTTGAGAGTCCCGGTATATAATATATTTTGTATTTATATAATTATTTTATTTGAAATATAAGTATGTTAAGGGCTGCAAATTAAGCCCATGCTACTTATTATATTATTGGCCCAATTAATAATTGAATGTTTTGAAGTTCATCTTATTAACTAAAGAGCCCAATAGCCCAAGTCATAGTTTAATCACAACCATTGGATTACTTTTATAGAAAGCCCTAAAATCCCAAGCCTCAGGAAGCTACACCCTTTTCAACTGTCTGAAGCCACCCCAAATGGCCAAAGAAAGGGTCGGCGCCTCAGCTGAGAACATCCCGCTGCTAACACCTTTCCTTCGGCAACCAATTTGAAACAAAATCCCTAAACTCCATCTTCAACAACAGGATCCACAACCGCTGCAACTCCCTTTCTGAGGCTATCACTATGCAATGGAAACCTTAAACTCCATATGTGAAGAGAATGCTATCTTGCTCTCTTTCTGATATGATAACTGAGGGAACTATTGATCGATGGTCATCTCTATGAAGAAAAAGGTATGCGAATTCTGTGATTTTGTATGGATTCGCGAATTTTGAAAATGAGTTCGCGAATTCTCAAAAACCGAGTTTGCGAATTTATGCCGTTTTCGCTCCCAATTCGCAAATACGCGTACGGAGCTCTGATTCGCTACCCAATTGAACGAATCCTCTGACTCAGGATAAGACAAATAAAAGAAAAGAAAAGAAATGAAAGAAAATTTACTTATGGTCATTCATTGATTAGTAAATAAATAAAAGGAAATAATAAAAAAAGAAGGGAATAATAGTAACATACTTGAGGAAAGAAAGAAAAAGTAACTATTTTTAATTACATGTAGCTATAAGTTCGACACTTTTTTTGGATAAGGCAATTCATTACATCACTCTGTCCACAACAATTTTAAAAATCCATAGCTACCTATTTTCCCTAAATATAAACCAAAAGGCAGCATAGGAAATACAGAGAGCTACGACCAAGGGAATATTTGTTTGGAGAAACTAAAAGAGATTTATAGTTGAAGATTTGCTTGGAGAAACTAAAAGAGGTGTTACCTATATCCACCAACACACCAAGTCTGATTTCAAAACAAGAGAGGGATCAAAAAGACAAAGAACACTTAAAGCAGCAGATAAATGCTTACTATATATGGTACTTATAAAATAAACACACACATACAAATCTCACGTGAGTGGAGAGAGTAATTTAGAGATGAGAGAGAATAACATGGAAGTAAAGAACCATGGTAAGAGAGAAATAGAAAGAGAAAGAGAGTAAAATATATTACATCAAAAGAAACAGAGCCTAAAAGAGATTTATAGTTGAAGATTTGATTGGAGAAACTAAAAGGGATGTTACCTCTAACAAGCTTGAAGATTTGTTTGGACAGAGCTAGTAAGGTGTCTCAATTCATCCACCAAGTCTGAATTCAAAACAAGAGAGGGATCAGAAAGACAAAGATGACTTAAAGCAGCAGATAGATGCTTACTATATATGGTACTTATAAAATAAACATGCACATACAAATCTCATGAGAGTGGAGAGATTAATTTAGAGATGAGAGAGAATGACATGGAACATATTTTACATCAAAAGAAACAGAGCCTAAAAGAGATTTATAGTTGAAGATTTGTTTGGAGAAACTAAAAAGGATGTTACCTATAACAAGCTTAAAGATTTGTTTGGACAGAGCTAGTAATGTTTCCCAATTCCACCAGCAAACCAAGACTGAGATGGATCAGAAAGAGAGAGTACTGAACGCAGCAGATGAAATCATACTTATATTGCATCTATATATTAATATTGCCATCTTCAACTTTTTCTCAATGGAGTTCACACTATCAACTCAATAACTCTAGTGGATGCAACAACCAAAAACTCATCATTCAATGATCTGGACCATAGCTTCACTATTTCAGAAAGTGACAACTGACTACTACTACATGCATATCCACCCAACTATTATTTATTTATTTATTTTTAACAGCTTCTATATGAAGTTATTATTAAAACTTGAATATAGGATTTGTTCTTTGGCATGGAATTAAAATTTTAAAAAAAATAATTAAGAAAATTAAATCAAATTTTTTATTTTAAATTTTCCCAATTTTAATTTGAATACGCCAATTCCATGCAGTTAAGCACACCCTAAAACTATGTTTAGTTTGGAAAAGAAAAGAAAATAATAAAAAGGTTACAATCACAGAAAAGAAATGAAATGAAATGAGAGAGAGTTTACTTATAGTCATTCATTGATTAGTAAATAAATAAAAGGAAAAAAAAATTTAATTTGTTTTGCCATTGAATCATTGATGTCTTAGACCAACAAAATCTTGACCAGTTCAATTTTTTTTGGTTAAGTGTAGGAGAATTTAGGTGGATAAACCATAGCTTCCACGTTGTCTTGGAAATTTTTTTTTTTTTTTTTTTTGACCAATTGGAATGTTGATGTCCCCACTAGCAAAATTTCCAGGAAAGTGTCTCAAAATTATTGGTGTTTGACATAAATCAATTTTGTGTTGATGTGCCATTTGGAATCTTTGCTTTTGAGATAATAAATAAAAAGAAAACAACATTGACATCTTTATTCTACATTTTAACTTCACTTTTTTTTTTTTTTTTTTTTTTTTTTTTTTTTTTTAATAAAAGAAAAATATAATGGGTTTGGGATTAGGGTCTAACTATACTATTTCTAAAGAAGAAAGATATGGCAAAAATTTATACAAAAAAAAAAAAAAAAATTCCACTTTATTTTTTCCTTCATTTTTTTAGTTCTATCTCTAGGGTTTATGTGAACGAAAATTATTTCATAAGTTCACACCATGGATCAGATCAAAACACGGTGACAGGCTAAGCAAATGTGCTTTCAATTATTGCCATTTCCGCCTCTTCTCCTTCAACCACGCACCACCAATAATTCAATAGTTTGGGCCATAGGTTCATCATTCAATAGACAGGAGAAAGAGACAAGTCACAGAAAACAATCAGTACCACCACCATAAAAGCAGGGCATCTTAGTTCACTGCATACATTTCCACGGTTCCTTTTTTTCAACTCTAATCTATTATTACTTGCTCTATATATATATATATTTTTTATTTAATTTAATTTATGAATAAAAGTAAAAAATTGAATAAAGGAGCAAGTTATGCCTATTCATCCCCTCTACATGATTCTAAATTATATTTCCACAACCATTTCACATAACACAACTCATATACACTAGTGCCCTTTAAAATTAAGGCTTAATTTCATTGACATCCCCTCAATTTTGGCCAAATATCACATTTAAACAACTTTCAAAACTAATTATTACTTAGGTCCAATTTTACTTTTCTGTCACAAACACCATTAAAAATGTATAAAAAGACAATTTTAACCATATTTTTTAAATTTATTTTCATCCAAAATATCAGTAAACTTAAAAAGACAAAATTACCCCCAAAACATGCGTACTGTAGTGAAGATGACGGCATGGAAACTACAATTGAGCCATCGAAGCCGATATCGGCGATGGAACAGTGTTTTTGCAAGTTGTATAGATCTGCCAAACGCAGTCGGGTAGGATAGAGAGGACGCTGGGAAGTGGTGGAGCTTCTCAGCCTGAGAGGCGGTGATGCTTCTCTTGTGACTGCGAAGTTCATTGCTCCATCGCCACTTGTTCTGCAATATTGTGATTTTGAAACTCAATCTACGGCGGTGATGCGTCACAATACATAACATTATAAGCTAACCGTATTAATTATAGAGAAAAAAATCTTATTAATTTGCTTACATTAATTAGTGTATATATATATATATATATATATATATATATATTAAAAAAAATCTATATATATAATTAGCTTACATACATACATATTCGTATATATATTCTGTAAAAAAAAATATCATACATTTAAAAATTAGCTTACATTAATTAGTATATATATGATATATATTATATAGCATATATATATTCATATATATATATATATATATAATGTTAAAAAAATCATATATATAATATAATTGTAATTTTGCAAAGCATTTAGGGATATTTTGGTCTTTTAATACAATTCTTTTAGGTTAAAGAGTTTTTTTGATAAAGTCAAAGGGTATTTTAGTCATTTTATATGTGGCAGAGTTCCGTGGGTGATGGTTGGAGTGTGAGTGAAAGACGGAGGAACAAACATTTGCAACCTTCAAAAAGAGTTTTAACATGATATTTGGCCAAACCATAGGAGGTTTCAGTGAAATTAATTCTAAAATTAAACCCTACATTAAAAATATTACATTTATATTTTTAATGTAATGCATATATATGTATTAAAAGAATATTTGGTCATCATATTACAACAATAACTTTGTACATAAATATAATTATATATATTTTTAATTTTGCATATTTCTTATTGTACCTTGAGTTTTCAGAAGTTTTTCCTTGCTGAAATTAAATGGAAAGATCACTTCAAAGGGATTGTCTAATTGTTAGCATCTAACCTCACATCCAATGTTCAGAGTTAAGTTGTCTTGAAAATTTTAATTTTCTTTTGACCAATTGGAGCATTGACGTGTCTGCTGGTAAAATTTCCACAATGGAAAATATTTTAGTTTGATTGAGATGTGTTTTGTATTGACTTGTCATGGAATCCTTTGCTTTTTTAGATTATAAATAAAAAGAAAAACATTCTTCGCATCTTTATTTTTTATTCTACACTAAATTTCACTTACTTTTTGAAAAAATGAAAGGAAAAATATTCTTAGCATCTTTATTTTTTACTCTACACTAAATTTCACTTACTTTTTGAAAAAATTAAAGGAAAAATATGTATGGTCTAATTATACCATTTTTAAGGACGCAGGGTAACCCAAATTGTTCAACTTTTTTTTTTTTTTTTTTTTTTTTTCATTTCTATGGGGTTTTTAAAATAACCCAATTTGTCCAAAATTGACGTTTCTCTACTACTCCGCCAAAAAAAAGTCTTAACTTATTTTCCTCTTCCCCATCAAACCCCAGCACAAATTCACATTTCTACCTTCTCACTATCTCTTCTTACAATAGTCAATAAAGAAACTAATTGTGAAGTATTTTAGTGATTATATATTGAAAAAATTGGGTTCAAAACTCTTTAAATTGGATTTTTGTATTTGGTGTCAGAGTTAAACATCAAAAGTGGAGTTAACTCAATGAAATTTAAACCAGTACAACTTTGCATATAATATATATGTGTAAGAGGACACTAAGATTTTCTTAACTATGATAACAAATTCCTTATTTAATCCTTCGGTTGGAGACTGAATGAACTGCTTTTTAATTAGACATGGACAAATCCTAACTCACATAAAGTTAGAGCAGGAGTAAGAGCGAATTCGAGAGCCGGAACACAAAAAGGGCAAAATTTAAGTCATACAGAGTGAGAATTAGAGTTAGAGCGCGTATGAAGGGCGGTCGGAGTGTAAGAGCAACACCGTTAAAAATGATTGTGTGACTTTTCAAACCAAATAAAAAATTATTGGGCTGTTTAGAGAAGAAAAAAAAAAAAAAAAAAAAAAAATCCGTAAAACTAATTCAGTCTGATCTGATATTTCACAAATCAAATCAGATTGGATTTAGCCTTCCCACGAATCTAATCTATTTCAATTTTCATCAATCCGTATGGATCAGATTGGATTAGTTTTAATGCCTAATTATAAAAGCAAATAAAATATTAGTAAAATTAATATTGCTTGTTTAGTTGATGCTCTTCAAATTTTTGCATTGAATTTTCCTCAACCTCATAATACAAGAAAATTGGTTATGATATATACTAGGGTTGTAGAAAACAATTTAGAAGTTGATTTTGTTGAAAAAAAAAAATGCTCTCTCGGCTAGAAAGATTAAAAGATTTATCACCAACAAAATAAATAATGCCAAAAGAATATATTTTTTTCCTAAATTCAATAAGTTTTTGAAAAAAAAAAAAAAAAAAAAATGAAAGAAAGAAAAAATTTAAAATGTTTAAAAAATAAAAAGCTAAAGAATCGGAACTAGATATTGAAAAAGTGGTTAAAAAGTTTGTTGTTAGGTTTGAATGAGATTTCTGCTTCCGAGGATGAAGTTTCTGATGTTGAAAATAGTGATATTGCTTTTGTTGGTGTTGCTAATATTGATTTTGAAGTTGATACTAATTAATCACAAGAAATTAATTAGACCTCTAAAGCTCTAACTATGTTAGTTTAAGACTATGTTTGGTGTGAGTGAATGAAATCAAATGAAGGTGGAATGGAATACATTTGTTTCCATTCTCTTGTTTGGTGTGTCACATTAAAAATGGAATGGCCATTCCTAGGGAATTCCCATTTCATCAAAAAGGTGGAATGCCCATTCCACTTCTTGAGAGGTGGAATGACTATTTCATTCCCACTAAAAATTAATAAAGTAATAAGATAATTTAAAAAGATAATTAACGCATACACACACTATATATATATATATATATGTTGTTTGTTCACCCTCTCTCTATCTCGTTTATTTTTCTCTCTCTATTATCTCTTTCCCTTTTATTTTTGCAAATTAATTTTTTTAGTTAATTTTTTTTACTAATAATAAAATGTAATTTAAAGAAACAGTATAAATTCATTCTATTCTAACTTTCTTACCAAACATAGGAATGAGAATGAGATTCCATTTTTGCCCATTCCACTTCTTGAGAGGTGGAATGACCATTTCATTCCCACTAAGAATTAATAAAGTAATAAGATAATTTAAAAAGATAATTAACGCATACACACACTATATATATATATATATATATATATATATATATGTTGTTTGTTCACCCTCTCTCTATCTCGTTTATTTTTCTCTCTCTATTATCTCTTTTCC